TTTCATGGTTACCGCGAAGGTTAATCCTTGTAACTACTGACATTTGTGTCAGTTAATAATTAGATGTCTAGTAAGTGGTTGACATGTAGTAAAACAAATTTAGATTACTCTAATTCAGCATTGTACTGGAGAATCGGTCTTGGTTGCCTTTAAAGAAGAAAAAATTGCTCTAATTAATTTAGTCTTGACAGCAAAGGTATAGGTTAACTGAGTTGTAAATTGTAATTTGTTTTGTGATTGAATTTTCCTTAAAAATTGTAAACTCGGCCAACTTGTTCCGATTAATCGGCCAATTGAATGGAACCATGAGTCCCATAAAACAGTCCTTGAATCACGTAGGTAACGACAATGACTAATAGTGTCTTACAATAATTATTATTCTACAATAATTAGTCATATATTCTGACGAAATAAATGACAATTATTATGAGTAAAACTCCTGTAAACAAGACTTCAGTGTTGACGTCTGAAATAGGGGAAAATGTTCTGGAAATTATTTTATTCATTAATCATAGGCGATACGTGCGTCCGGCGTCCGTAGATGGTACGTTTAGAACCAAACATAGCATTGTGATGGGGCGACGTTTGACCACTATCTCGCCTGGTGGTAAGCGATGATGCGGTCTACGATAGAGCGCGTCATCCCATAAGTAATCTATTCACTCGGGCCTTGAAGAATTCCAGGTTTAGGAAATGCAGATTCTGGCAAAGAATTCCACTCTTTAGCAGTACGCACAAGGAAGCTTAAAGCGAAGCGCTTCGTACTTGTGGGTGAAACATTTACCAAGAATCGGACGGATCGGAATTATTATAATTGGGCAGAATTCTTGATTGCCTTGTGTCCCTCTAAGTCGTAGTTTGTTCAGTAGTCTGCATGTATATGTCACAAAAGAAAAAGATCTTTCTAATTCAATCAGGAGTTAACTGTGAATATCACAAATGCCCCATTCGTATCGTAGGTAAACATAATATGTATTTGCAATTTCAAACGAGGATCGACTTAAAATGAATGTTGACACTTAACAAAATTATCGCGTTTATTCATCAATCTCAGCTATAAATAAAGATCACAAATGGCATGTCTGTTTATAGCGATCGTAGCTATAATTTCGCATAGTTATCGTCGTCCATCGTGGTGCGTGCGCGTCGCATGCATGTGTGCAGTTATGCGCGCTGACTTCTAGACCGGAAAACGCTAGAAAGTGGCTTTTCAATTCACGAATAGCTACATAATAAATACGTTTGCGCCGATTCAACGCGCGTTGATGTTAATTCACATTAATGTTCGCTGTGATTGATATCCTTTCAATAAATTTTTGATGTTATTTTTAATTAAGTTACAACAGAACTTAGTACCTAACATACATATGTATTAGTATCTGATGCGTGGTTTAATGCAATGTCTCTCTTTTCTATGTAAGAAGTCTGTTCTTTAATCAAATCAAAAATAAAAAAATCTATGCAGCCAAACATTTGTCTACTCCTTGCAGTGATAAAGTATAAAAACAGAAATTTTGTACAATATCCTACTATTACCTACTGTGAAAAACTGGATCAACTGACAACATTTAAAAATCCTTAAAATACTTTTACTTTACTGAAGGTGTGGTCAGTTAGAGGCGCGGTAAGACACTGCAATGGAAAGGTATTTTACGTTCGTAAAAGAAAAATGCATTTCGTTCTCCTCATGAATAATAATATCGATATCATACGTTTCGCGCGTTTTTCACTCAAATGACAGTTGTTAGCGTTTACGCATTCTTGTCGGCCATTTTCTAAATAACATTTACGTAAATAAACCTGTCTGTATTCTGCAAATTACATGTATGAAAATTTAATTGTTTGGTTTATTATTGTGTTTATTTATTACCTACTCAGTTGCGCAAAAAGTTACTATTAAACATATTGAAATATTTCAAGACAAATAACTAGACAATATTTACTTGTCCATATATCACCAGTTGGGTTCATATAAAATAAGGTGGTTTTTTACGTAAATACAATACGATATTACAAGAAAGGTAGGGAGATGTCCATAGTGTAAAATAATGCTTCTTAAAATTGTCATTAATGTGTGCACAGACATATCTCTGTAAGTATTTTGAAATAACTTTAAACTATTTTATCCACAATCAATAAAAATCAAATTTGATTCAAACCAAATAGTTAACAAAATGTTCTTAACTCGGTAAAAATAGGCATCGTAAACTTTGAAAGAAAACAGCCTACTTCAATAACGGTCCAAATAGATCTGTTCCATTATTTAATCAATGGAAGTATCTATCCATTTCGCAACCAACTCTGGGACTTGTAAGTTTTTTGATTGCTGATTGCGTACCAAAATAAACCGATCGACCGTTTAAAGGGAACTTTTCGGTGACCATACACATCTGCAGATGAAGGGAAATATATTTATATGATGCCCTAATAAACATCGTGTTACAACACTCGAATGTACTTAATGTAAAAGTATTCGGTACTTTTTGCAGAATTATGTAAAAGTGAGTAACTGTTTCAGAGCTGTGTTTTATGTAACTAATTATAAAGAAATTAATTATAATTAGTGTAATTAACTCGATGTTTGTTCAAAAATACAATTTGGCTTGTGTATTCGGTTTGTAGATGCTGTATAATTTATTTTCTGTATAATAAGCATTTAATTACTTACGTTATGCGAAAAAAATATGTTAAGTTTTATATGGGGTATGCAAGCTAAACTGAAAGACCTCCTTGGCAAGTTACGTACTACTAGAGCTAAGAGCTTACATAGAAAATCTTTGCAATTTTTAGTTCAGTATAAAACACTGTGCCTAGAACACACAATGATAAAGTTCTAATAATGTTCTAGGCACTAACTTCACAAATGAATGAAAGCTGTTTACTCATATGCTACGCATTACTACGCCATCGCACCCGGTTCTACGCTTCAGCAACCAATTTTCCTTGACCTCTCGTGGCTCCCTCAGAGCATTTTACGAAGGGCGACATAAGGGAAAACGGAAGGATAAACAGAGGCCATTAGTTTATTTTCAAATGAAGCATAGAGGAGCGCTGGTTCTCGGCCAAGCGGTAGTCGCATCGCGCGGTGGGCCGAACGCACTCGTGTCTGCACTGAGCTTAGAAACTACTCCGCGTCACCGAAAGCGTCCATCATTTTGAATTTCGAAGTGCAAGTGAAATAAAAAATAAAATCAAACAGTGCGTTCATTATAGCAGCTAGGAGCTTTTAGTTTTATTATCTTTGGTAAGATTTTTTTTTAATTTTTTATTTTATTTAACTGTTCTGATTTTAGCTACGTATGCTAATTTTGCTGAAAACCACTGAACGTTTAAGGATAACAAAATTAGAATCAAATTGTTTTATGTACAGGTACTTAGCGCATAAATTAATGTTATTACCTAGTTTAACAAATAAGATTTATAACATTTTAAATAATAGCAAATATTGACATTTACCACAATTACTTGAAACAGGAAATGGATAATTACGATTCCATTGTTTTAAATCCTTGTAAATTCAAAATTGTACATTAAGTGATTTTTAATGACTGAAAAAGTAGGAAAACTTTTAAAAGCTTTCATGATTTTTTACGTGGCTACACAAAGTAGGTGTTGTGTACCTAGATAAGTAGGTACTTATTTACTCTTTTTTTATTTACTGATTTCTATTGAATATCGAACATCTATCAGCCTACGACTACTGCCATACGCAATCCAAAGCTACATCCGACCATATCGTCTAAATACTATTGGTAAATTGCACATTACACAGAAAAACTTTTTTTTTCTTTTTAAATAAACGCTAGGATTTTCTCCTGTAGCGTGGGTGCGTTAACAAACATACAAGTTCACATACACATCACACCCAGACCCGAAACAAAAATCTGTGGATCACACAAACAGTTGTTCCGTGCGGGAACCGAACCCGCGACACGTTGCGCGGCAGCCAGTTGCCCAACCACCGCGCCAACCGTGCAGTCAAACTAGAAAAAGTAATTAAGTACAATATTGTCCAACCTTTCATTGCGTAGATGTACCTTCTCAATCAATTTCTCACACATATTGATTAGTACATCAAGTCCATTAATGGTCACGAAAGTTATTACATTTCATTCGCTGTCTGCCAGCCCGTAATGTTTGTAAAAAAATAACATTTGTTGGGAAAGCATAACGCTCGGTGCGTTCCGATTCAGTGATCGGCATTCAGCCTGTTTATGATTTATGTATTGTCGTCCACAAGCAACTACTTTACTTTTACAATATTTAACAACACGCCTCATTAAGACAACCTAGTATTAATTGAATTAATTACAGTAATATACGATTGTAACCGATTCAAACACGCTACGCTAATGTTTACTTAACACAACGAGATATTCTGCCAGATATGTTAATTGTTCTATATGAATCATTGTTCTAATGGCATTATAAAAAATAAGACTAGTAATCATGCAAACGGGAGCACAATAACAGTCATTACCGACTAGAATATAGTTACCGTTATAATCATGGACGCACATAAAATTGGACACCATAAGTGCCCTGTTAATGGCTCCGCAAGACTTCCTTATGAAATAGAACATAACATTGTTTTTATAGTCTCAGGCCTTTTTAAGAAATCTTTGTCCTGAGGCGGCGACGTTTTGGTACAGCCGGAATATTTTTTACTAACTTTACAATTTGCAGAGCAATTTACAACAAATAATTTGTTGTTGTCAAGCTCATTTACCTAAGTATAAACTGAAATTAAGTTATTATTTCAGGCTCAATTGCATAATTCTATTGATGCTGGCTTAAGAACCAATCACAGGTCTGATTGAAATAGAATAAAGAAAGTTTTAAATCTCCAATTTAATTAATATCACAGCCAATCAAATAATTTGTCATTGTCACAAGCTGGTCAAGGGGAGGCTAATATGGGTGCGGTCAATGATCTTTTAATTAAATATGCTTTTTATCAGGTCTCTGAGTACGGAGGTGGCGCTCGAGTAGTGTGGGCGATGTCGGCGGGAGACCGAGAGGCCGAGGCGCAAGCCAAGAAGGGAGATGAGGCTGCGTCGAACGACCGGGACAGCAGGGCCGCGGCCGCGCTGAAGCAGTACTGGTGTGTCGGGCTACGGGCCTTGGAACTGGTGAGTTATGACGACAACAACTGGTTGATTTAAGTTTTAAAGGATACCACTAAGAGCCAATAGGTGTCAGAATTAGGAGTGACAAGCTTATCTGGCTCTGGACGTAATCTAAAAAAAGGCAAGGAGACTTAACAGCAGCAACCGATATGAAAAAGACCAAGTCACAAATAAGATGAGAAAGTACGTAAACGCCTATCGGTGCAAAGAAAAACTAGAATCACGAATCAGTAGAAAATATTCCACAAAGAACTAGTCCGTCTAAACAAAACCATTTAATATATTTTTCAATTACAAATCGATTCAACTGGGTGATCGCTAGGCTCTCGGCCAGTAATTGCTTGCAATCATGGCGCGTATGGGAACAGCCGTGTTGCGATTCAAGACATGATAATTTGCAGCACGACACACTGCCCTTGAAGTCAAAGGATCCCTTGTGCTCTTGTACTTGTGTTTAATTAATAGTACACTCATCTTTATGTTACCGTTGTTTGTGTTCCTAGAAAAATAGGTATAATGCAATATGACATGAATAATTTGTTTGTAAAATGATCTAGATGCTTTGTAAACGTATCATCCATTATGTCTGCTAATATGTTAGTGTAGCTAACGGACTTATCCTTTTTCCTTTAAAGGGTATGTAGGGCTTCAAAGACTGCGCTTAAAGCCAGGAACGTACCGACTTATAAGGTTGAAGTCCGTGAAACAGCACAAGCAAGTCTTTGTAGACATGCTATAGTGCGAAAAGCTAATAAGTCAAATGGAAACACAGCTTCAACATCTAATCAACTTACAAATCATATCACGACCTTTGTGGTAAACTAAACGATGCGTGAAAGTGAAAACCTTGTAATAATAATTTACGAAGATACTTGTGGTATTGGAAAATCACTTGCTTGCGGTATTCAAGAATAACTAAAAGGAGAAAACAGGTGTTTGACAATGCAACCACTAGACCGACGTACGGAAGATACTTTCACTCAAATACTTTAGAACGCTTGTTTTAAACGATCTAGCGTTTTTATTGGTGCACGTGAGCTTTGTTATTTAGGAGAATTACTAAAAGAATTGCATGGAGTCATTTCGAATATTGACGATGTAAAAAGTTAATGAAGTTTGCGAAAACGATTGGAAAGCGGTGTGACGTCAGAGTGTCAATTTCAACCTTACTTTCTTTTTAAAATAAATAACTAGTTAGATATTAGCAAAGTTGATTAAAATTAAGTTGTTTTGATAACGTAGACGTTTCTGTCTTTTCCAAAATGCATGTTTAAGTTTCCAATTTATTTTCAGATCATCGCAGTGATTGCTATCGGTCTCATTGTTGGGGCTCTGTATTCCCCACAAGTTGTGCAGTCCGACCATAGGCATATTGCCGTCATCTATTCTGCCTACTCTAGTAAGTACAGCCTCTATTATTGATTTATCATTTATTGCATTGACGTCTCAGATTTCTACAAAACAAAAAACTTCAGCAAAAACTTCAAGCAAATCTCTTTTGTTTTTGCTCAACGAAATTAAGAGGATAGATCTGAAAAGCCATGACCCGATTCGTTACATAGGAATTCGTTCTAATCTTTCAATTTACCAATTGTCACAGAATTGATTCGAGTACATTTAATGGCAAATTCACAAACAAACAATTAACGAATAAAGCAAAATGGAACACAATACACATTGATTAAAGGAGGATGATAGATATTGCAAAAGGATCGCTGAGTTCTAAGCAATATAGAGATATTTATTCATAAGGTTTGATGTCAACAGACTTTTCGTTAATTAGTTTTAAATTCAGTGTGTAATTGTTATTCAAACCTCACCATCCTTTGCCATCCTTCGAACTTCGGATGTACTTCAAACAGTAATTTCATGCATAAATGAACACAGTCTATTGTCACATCGTCACCGTTTCTTGCTACATAATTCTTTGCAAACTTTAACCTTACCATAACATTTATTGTTAAACTAAACCACCACTAGCAAAAAGAACATTACTACGAAATCGATTTTAGAGTGAATAAAAACGATTCTCGTATCGCATATCGATTATATTGATCATTGAATCGAATTTTTCTTTCATGAAGATGAAAAGATATGATCAATATCGATGAATGATATTTTGTATTATAATCGAGTAAATCGGTTTCACTTAATACACAAGTGGAAAATTGGTTTCATTGAACTTTGTGTGTGAAAGTGAAACCTGTAAACACTTGTAAACGTAAACCGTCAACCGTAACCCGATTTATGGTAACTTCCTGAATGCGAAGTCGACGCTCGAATTGTGTTTCATAACAATATTACCGATATTTTTCCTGTTTTAATAATCTATGTTTTCATTCAAGTTGCTCATGTTTAGTATTTCGTTATGGTTCTCAGTACAAAATAATCACCTATGTAGGGTAATAGTGTACTTTGTTTTAATATTAATTTGCAATTGTGTGATTAATGCGTCTTCTCACGCATCGGCCTTGATAAATGTTTTAGATATATCTATCGAACGATTATTGTACCTATTGTTCAATTATTAAGAAACTCGCTAAAATTAAGTTTCACGTCATAATAATTAAATCATTGGTGTCTATTAATCAATTTGTTTTGAAGCCACCGGATGATGGAGGAATTATATTATTACCGGTACCGCGAAATTACTTATAATAACTTTATGTAATGGATTAATTCCAAAACTAGATTACTCAATGCTAACATTGTATTCAATTTCTCTTTATCTAAAAGTTTTAGTTATGAAATACTTCAGCATAGATCTCGGAGAGTCTTTTTATAAAACGTAACATCAATTTAGAGCCACTTAAATATTTTTCTGTAACCCCTTCTTCACATTGATTGGTATCAGATATTTGGAAGTTCACAGAAGTCTTATTACTAGAATCCTATGTGTAGTTAATTTCATCAGCATCTAAATTGTCTATTTTGTTATTGTTTAGGCTACATCATCATCACGGGGGTGCTTATCATCGCGAGGCTGTTCGGGGAGTCGCCTGGCTGGAGGACGTCTATCGGGTTCTCAGTACTGGGCGTCATCATGTTTACTGCGGCTGCTGCCGTTATATTCTATGGTAAGTTTTCCTAATCATTACTTACAAAAGTAGGTATACAAAAATATAAACAATTAGCCTAGAGGTTTTTTTTAAGGGGGGAAAATCATCGAATGACTGCTCCCGCCTGGGTGAGGCGGGAGGGAGTGTCAGACTCTTACTGACTGAAAAATCACCCCGTTCCTTCTCGTGCACGTCGAGCCGGAGCCCCGGTTACCCGTTAGGTTCTCCGCGACAGCCTAGGGGGCTAGGGTGGATTCCCGTCACATATCACTATACACAGGAATCATAAAGCATGTATGTAGGGGAAAAAGGGTGTTAGCAATTAAAATATGCACCCTTATATTCCCATGTCCGCTAATAGGGTTCACAATCTGGGAAAACCATTTCATTATATTCTTTATCAACGATTCTGTGTCAGCCCGATTTATTTTTTTACAAATTACATGCGTATCAACTAGTAATTACGCGATTAACTCAAGAATCAGACGAATGGTAATCTAGTAGTTTCCATGAGCAGTGATCCGATGAAGCGTGTATAATAACAACGCAATAGATCGATCCTACTTTACGAACAAACTGGTCCTACACGAGCCATGTTCAAATATGTGCCTGTTTACTAATTAAACAAATACTTTGTTTAATTATGTAAGTGGTATGCTATGTACAGCTATTAAATTTGCCTTAAAACAAGCTAAGACGAGAAACTAAATAATTACTCGTGTATATTCAATTTCTATGTCATTGTTATTATACCTATACCTATGTCACTTGATAGCCCACACTTAGGTAACTATTTGTTGTTAATGCATAGTTTTACGATGCAATCAAGCGTTTGTTTAGAAGTAATAACAAAATGTTTGCTCTTAACATTCAGTATCTACTTATTCAATAAAGATTTCTAGTCACGGACAGTTGTTAAATAAATAATTGATATGCAAAGTGCACCTATGAGCCCACTAGGCTGTATAAGGCAGAGCCTTGGCGTTGCCTATTAAAAATGTAGACAATTAGTCTATGGGGATTGGTGTGAAGTGTAACTTCCGTTCCTTTCTATTACAAGTTGTGTTTTAAAATGAATTATAAAATCGTTGCTTAGCATAACTACATTGATTGTTCGGTTTTTCAAACAATTTCTTCGACTTAACTGTTTATTTAGGTGTGGCAAATATAATTTGGATGTAAATTTTGTTTTTTTTTTTCAGACTGGCACAGATCTTACTACGCAAATCTCCGTCCGAACAAGCAAGCATACGACCTCCTTATATCTTCGGGAGTATTTGCAGTAATAAACGTCGTCGTATTCCTTGTCCATGCCTTCATTACATTCAGAGAGGAAGCAGACTACTAAATGATGGAATCTCTAAATTAATTCTTAAATTCGGCTGTTCTTTATTTCTTTTATTATTTGGACATTCATTTTTGCTATCAAAACCAAAGCGTTATTCTTAAGTCACTTTCATTTTACTTAGTTTTTTCATTTTCACTACATTGAAAGTTTTTTAATGGCTCTCTCTCTTTCAAGCCCGTTGCATAGCCTACGTAATCAAAGATCTTTTTATTTTTAGGTTTAACCTTTAAGAGTATTATTTTAACATAATCGTAGTTAAGTGTTTGTATCCATTTATTTTTAAGTGTATATAAGTTTATCAATATGTTGCCTCATTGTGTAGCTAATGCTTTTTATCTATATTTAAATATTCATACCCAATGTTGCCCTCAGCAGTAGCTACTTGGAATTTTGAACATATTCATCTTTTTTTCTATATTTTATATCTAAGCACTTTATTCTATGTAAGTATTTATACAAGCAGCTATTTACTTATTTTCATTTAGATACAGTGTATTTAAGTATCTACTTATTCTATGGACAGCTATTTTCTTATTTATACGTGGCAGCATTTATGTATTTTTTATGTTGGCAAGGCATCTATTTAGACATTTTTAGAAAGTGGGCAACTATTTTATTTATTCTCTATAGATCTAAAAGGCAACTTTACAAAACTCTGTGAAAACTGGGCAACTAATCATTTTTATAATGGCAGTCTATTTAATTAAATTTTATTAATATAAATTAATGGCAGCGTGTTATAAAATCCAAAAATGGCAGCTATGACACGGGCAATTAATAAGAAACTTATAATATTTAGGCAACTTAAAAAAAAACCATGGCGGCATAAAACAGGCAGTTTATTTTAGGTATTAACAATAGTTTATAATAATTATGGCAGGATAATATTTAAGTTTTTTTTAATAAGCAGCTATTACTTCCTTTACGTGTATAATAGACATCAGACACGCAAAGCACACAAAATTCATCAAAATAGCAGACTAAAATTTGCTCTTCACTGTATTTTTTTTAAGATTGTTTTTACATATTGTGTTATGGCAGCTTTATTATTTAGGATTTTTATTGTGCAGCCAAACTTCCCAAGAGTTATTGAAAGCAGCTATTTTTATCACAACATTCAGCTACCATTTTTTCGCGGCAGTTAATTATTTCACAGCTAACAAATTAATGCAGCTATTTTATACAACAAACACTGCTATGAAAAGGCAGCTTTAAGGTTTAATCAATAATATAAAAAGTAAGCTTTAAATATCAAGGCAGCTATTTACCTATATTGTATTATTTACCTACAATCAGTATTTAATCTAGATTCACGAAAATCAGCTATTTATAATTTATATTGCAGCTAGTTTTTTTCCAAGTGGCAACTTGTTTAGTTATATTTTTAATTGGCAGCAGTAGCTTGTTATTCAGCCTATTACAATGCAAAATATTTCGGCCGAAAGTGCAAGTATAGGATTATGTTTTTTTATTTAATTAGTATTGTGAGACTGTCGTCTTACGTAGGTGTGGATCGCAGAGGTTAGGGATCGATTAGAAAGCTAGAGAGTAAAAGAGTGTAAAGAATAAGATTTTTTGTTATTTTGCTTTTTTTGACGAAAATATTCTAAATTATTCAGTTTTTAGTTTAGTTGAGGTTAGATTAAGATGTTTATCCGATTATTACTGTAACATTCCGCTAAATTCTAATTTAATTAGATTTATTTTTAAGCTTTGTGGCTCTTACTATTTTTAATGACTAGTTTTGAATTCTTCAGTAAAAAAAGCTTTGATGGTTTATTTCACATTCTTTCAATATGATTCATATAATCTAAAAATGTAATATTTTATTTATAATGGTAAGGGCCACAATTATTTCATTATTATTACTTAATGAAGCAAACCACCGTGAGTTGTTTTTAATATCTAAAACTGTACTCTTCAACATTATTTATCCTGGCAACCATTCAACAAGATTCGTTTTATTTAAATTTGAAATTAATGTTATGTTAATTAAGTTGTTTATTTAGTTAATTATAAGTTATGTTTAGTTATATTTAAAGGATAAACCAAAGCAGTAATCAGTATCCGTCCAGTGGTAGTTAAGTTTTCTCTGACAACTTCAGAAACATTATTTCGCCTTCAAAAATAGTAAAACCTATAATAACTTCACTGTAGTGATCTGATTAAACGCATGTTCTCTTATTAATATTTCTTGTTTACGTTAGTTTAACTTTAGGAACTTTAGTTAGCTTTTTCTATTTTATTTTTCAAAAATATTTAGTAGGTATTCTTCAACTATAGTCGTAAATTCGTTTGGTATAGAATGTAGAATAAAATATTTTTCATCATCATAAGATTAGTTAATATTAGTTTTAATGAAATAATTATAAAATTACGTGTGTATATCACATGAGTTGTGAACGTTTATGATAAGGCAAATAAGATTTATACGACATTATGTAAATAAAAATATATAACTTATGTAACCGGCGCTAATGTTACCTTATTTATTCCCCATTTTAATAACAAAAGGTACCCGCGTCACTCACAAACTAAACTCTTTCGGTAAGAATATAAATAATTGTAAAACCCAATGTATCTTGTATGTAACAATTTAATAAATAAAAGCATTAAATATTGTTTTATTTCAACAAATAGACAAAACTAAAATGCAATGCAAAGATTCTAGAGATCTATAAATGAACTGATATTATAAACAGTGAATAGATTTCAACTAGATTAGACCACAGCGCCTCAGGAGGTTAATCAAAAACAAAGGCATAAATTGCACGATCAATAATAATAAACCTGCAATCCATAAATTCTTGAAAGTTTTCTAACAGAGCTATGAGAACCAGAGGGTCCTTCGTACCTATCTGATGGAATACCAGCTGATAAAAATGCACAACACCCTGTTATCTTTACAGACACGCGATGTGGTTCATCGCGTGCCTGATAACCAAAGCGAATTCTACAACCCATTCGTGACGAACTCAGTCTACCTACAGTATCAACTTATATAATGTGAGGTCACGGACATCTACAAAACACACCTTCGTGCTACGAATGCTTTACAATAATCTATCTTCGACTTTCGCAAAAATATCGACGGGAAATTAAAAAAAAACCTAGATCAAATGAAAGCTTTCGATTTTTACCATAAAAGTTTTATACAGATATTAAAATGAAACGATTTGATTATATTTGGTACGGTCTCATTATAAAGTTAGACTTATAGGTATTCTGTTTAATCAGTCAGATTATCGACTCTGCATCTACTTAATTTTCTCGGAGTGATTTGGTGGCCCTCAGGGAAGTATAATAGGACCATTAGTTTTAATTCAATATTATAGATTTAATTCTTATTACAATATAAGCAGAAGATGGTAATAATAAAGTATTTCTTCATAAATTAACATAGGTATCGAGCTATCTACCGTATCGACGATACGGGACCCTGGGCTGCAGAGGAAACCCCAACCTACAAAAGCAAAAGTAATAAAAGCAACTTCTTTTTTCCCGCATTAGCATATAACCACCGGCAGATACTAACGAAATTTATTTACAGATGACAGGTTTCATTGTTTATGGAACTTTTTCCCAAGATGCTTTTTTCCAATATTTAATAAACTCTTTCAAGGACATTAAAAAAGTATAATGGGATCGTATTTTGTACTTACAGGCAAAATTACACATGTCGTATTTTTACTTTAACAGTTTTTACAAAAGTACATCAGATGATAACTATTCGTTATTTTACCATAATATAAATTCATAGGCGGTTCGTCCAAAGGAGTGATCGGGACACCGGCCAAACTGATAGTAATAAAAAAAACAATTTTTTTTCTAAAAATCGTGATATTTTTAGCACATATTATGTATGTATTACCTATGTTTAGCGGTTTCCTTTTAGACAAACTACTTAAAATAATATTATTAATGTAATGCGAGCTTTTTAACAAGCCTTATGACTAAAAGACTTTGTACCAAACTAAGCCAAACTTGAAAAAGCTGATTAACTTCAATTTCTTCATTGACTTCATTCTTGACAATTTGATATTTGACAGTCCAAAATAAAAAAAAAACAATGCTACATTTAAAACAAATAATGTAAAAAATTAGGAATGTAAATCAATAAAAAATTATAAGTAAAATGAACTTACCTTTTCAGCTTTCGCCAAATAAATCCACAGTTTTCTCCATGTCGAAAACTTCTTCTGATCGCTGAAATTATATTGCATCTCTTTGGAGGCATAACGGGTGCTCAATGGGGACCGATAATTGCAATATTCAGAATTTTGTATCTCCACGGGGGCGTCAATTGAGAACATTTTGATCACGATTAATTATATTTGTAAGAATCACTGTAGTTTTCTTGGTGCGTCAATAGCCGCATACAGCTGACACTTAAATGAACATAACCTAACAACGACACCAAGGTCGGCCAAATCGGCGGGAGAATTCGATTCCGATAACAAGGTTATCTTAATAATGTTTATTGTATGACGAAATTAGAAATAACTTGTGACGAAAGTAGACTGGTTAAATGTGCTGCTAACACAAACAAAATGTTACTTCATTGTTGAATCGAAAACAACTTCAATAAGTTACAATTTGTCTAACAGTTTAGTTTTGAAGAAAATATATCTACAGACAGTGATATTGACATATTATTTATGTACGTAAATAAGCTTACGCCTCTCCCATAGGGGCAGGCAGAGATGATATTATAGTGATGTTGAATTTAGAACATATATCTTAGATTCAATATAGTTTATAGGTACCTAGATGTTAAGAAATTGTATGATATCAATAATTGAAGTTATCAAAAAGTATTAAGAACTTCGGTCTATCTAATAAAATGGGTGTTACTGTTGGTATGTTACTTACCCTTTGACTACCTTGACTACCAAAGGTGTGATGTTCTGCTGTAGGTACCTATTTTTGAATTACTTTCAAAGTTTGACAAAAAACTTCTACTATGTAACTAAAAAGAAAATAACACAGTCAATTTGTAAAAATACTTTTTATTTACAACATTATAATATTTCAATACATGTTTGGTTTTAAAATAAAAAATACTATTGCTGCATGAAAAATATAATTATTTGGCAGTTATGGGTAAGGCACCAGATCGTAAATTTACAATGATTGCATTTAAACAACTTTCATGATATAAGACCAATCAGTACATATCATTGTATAAAACTTTTATTTATAAAAAAACAACTCAAATTCTTTGTCCAATGTACTTACAAATATACAAGTTAACATACATAATATACAGTTTTCAGTGCAGTCTGTTTATTGTCTTGCTTTACAACGAAATAATAGCCACATTATACCAAGGATCTGTAGACTTATGAATTTGTAACCGTTAGAGTTACATAATTTTATGCCTGTTAAATCCTCCTTATGTATGTGTGTATAATTAAAATATTCCTATGATAACAAAACACTTCCTCTGCAGTACTTGTGATTCTATAGTACTATATCATAGTTGTACAAGTATGCCAAGGGAAGGTGTTCAGCTCTTTACTTCTTCTTTTGGAGTGATTTCATCATTTTCTCCAATTTCATAGCTTTCTGGATATCTCCTTTGATCTTCAATTTGCCCATCATGAATGCTGTTGTTGGCTTCAGTTTGCCTGAGGAAAATGAAAAACAAAACAAATTGTTGAATATGATGACAATATTGTTAAGTTTTTATTGTTCGAGGATTAAAATCATAACAGCTATTGGAGTCTGGAAATTAGGTTGAGTCCAAAATCATCTGATATCAATATACACCCATTTAACAGAAGGATTGTAGAAATAATTTGGCGGGATGTGAGACTTTAAATTATTGACTAATCACATATTGTGGTACTGATTCGAAAAAAGAGGTAATGTAGACAGCAGGTCGATATTATGTATTTACCAGCAAACATCTCAGCGAAGTGTTGTCCATCCATGGTGAGGGTCGCGTCTGGTGGGTTCTTGGGTTCGCCCTGTCCGCATTGTCCGTCTCCGTTCTTCAAGTCGATATGCCATACGCCCTCTTCCTTACCTAGACATGATCATAGTTGCAAGGTTTGAAATAAATTGGAACAAAAAGTTCACACAAAACATATTAAAATTTAATTAACCAATTCGCATGAGTAATATCGTTATTATGAAGAATAATGAGTATATGAATTTATAGAACATTAATATGTATTTATATGTTCCATAAATTCATGACGCCATTAGGCATTGAGTTCTAATCAAATCAGTATTTTTATGAAAAACGCCAAATAAACATCGAAAATTATATTATAATAGCAAATATTCGCAACACTTCATATTGCTATAAAAAGTTGATAAAAATCATACCTTTGACATTGAACTGGTAGACGGCCTGGGTCTTTTGTACCAGGTCTGAGGAGAGCACTTTGCTGATGGACGCAAAGAGGGTTGGGATTTGACCGTCTGATGACCCTTCCTGTAAATTCCAGAATGTTCTATAATTGACTGAATCAAGAAAATTATATTTGGCTATTCTGCACATTGCTATTGTATGAATAATTTGAAACTGTATTTTACTCAATTTTTATTTACTTTCGTAATAGATTAAAAAAAAAGGTCACAGGCTGGCATTTTGAGACCATGCCCTACGACAACTTCAAATTATTTACATTAATTTAATTATATTTACAATCGAATTTAGAATTTCTTGAATTGCGTTCATGAATTAGTTATATAAATTATGTAATTTTCACGTATCCATGACCATTATGAGAAATGATTTAAGTAAAATAGTCTATTGAGTCCAATTATTATCACCATCACCAATATAGTGTTAGTTAAAACTTTGTATTACGTTAAACGAAAAAAACAAAAATTATGTGGTTATGCCTTCATTTCACTAACTACTGTATAAAAATTGAGTTTATATTATATTTTTGTTTTTCTACCATGCACTACTGATAACTACTGTGTTATTACATCACACTACCCCCAATGCTTGAAACTTCTTTCTTTGCTTCTTCTTTTCTGAGACTAGAAATTTTTTGTATAAAATTATATTTATTTTACCCAAAAAATAATCTCTCATTAAGGTTAAAACACACACACATGCACAGAGATAAACACAAACACAAAATAAATAAAACCAATCATGCAGAAGAAACAAATGGTCATAGATAAATTTATTATTTTTTATTTATTCACACCGGTTTGGCTTTGGATTTGATTCCCTCTTTCATAGTAGGTAGGTCCAGGAAGAAGTCGGGTAGCAAATTGTTTATGTTATCTGTGAACAAAGGGAGATTCCCAATTTGAAAAATAGAACAATTTTCTTTTTTTTAATTTTGGCCTATTGTGTTTTTGGACTGGTTTCCTGGACCTTGAAGCGTCGTTTTCACCTTTGACCACTGATTTTTTCTGTTTAGAAAACAAATAGCATACGATTATATACAAAGCTTACATGCTATAGTATATTTAAATTAAACTATCATAAATACACATACAGATAGATCAACTACACTTCGAATTCTCGCTACCAATACAGTATTATCCAAGTCTACCAGACCAAAGGTTTTAAATGACAAACCTTCTCCTTGTAGTGGACTGCGGATGTGTGGTACTGTCTGACGCGGTTAGCAGACGTTATAGTTTTCTGATGCTGTGCAAGTGCTTCGGGGACATCCAAGAAACCATCCAGTAATAGGTTATCAGCGTTCTCTGTGACCAATCATTACTCTGTGTAGTTTACCTCTTAACTATCGATATGACAAGACAGGAGACAAATCTGGTGTAGGGCCAAGTTTATGAATTATAGCTTTGTCAGTTCCACAGAGTAATATGTTAACCAGAGTTATAACGAAATGTTTCATAAAATGAAGGAATGTTGGAAGGGATACCATTGGAATGTAAAAAATGTAACGGACTAAAATGTACAAATATGTAACATGGGATTATAGGGAATTAATTACCCCTAAATAGAGTGATCATTTTAGTATAAAATTCAAATGTTCGATTAGAAACGCAAGATTGAGGAATATGGATGGTTTACTTTAATATCTTTGAGCGTTGAGCGAGTTACGAGCGGAGCTGCAGGTAAAGGATACACATGATATGATCAAAATAATAAATAACATTTGGAACTAAGGTAGTATTAATTACGAGTAGTATTATCATATTTTTATACTTACTGGGGTCACAAGCATAGGGTGTCAAATCCTTGACGCCGACAGACTTCACAACATCTTCATCAATAGCAAAGTTACCCGTGTACGTTTTAGGATCTCTGTGAAAATACAAAATTGTGAGACATACTAAATAAACTAAAAATCGCCGGCTACTCACGTAAATATACTGAGAAAAGCTCTACTAGTTTCGAACCGCAGAGGGGTTCTTCCTCATGAGCAGCGTGCGCGGAGGCAACGATGTCGCGCAGCCTACTGGCTAGCGTTGGCGCTAGTACGAGTGCTGTTGTGGTTCGATACTAGTAGAGCTTTTCTCAGTATATTCACGTGAGTACCCTGCGATTTTTAGTTAACACCAAATTGGTTACATATTATAAATGTTACAATGATCTGGGAGAACTACTATGACAAATGCTGTGGCTAATTAAAAGATAAAGAATCTGGCAATGGATCTAAACCATGAATGTATTATCATTTCTGGGCTTGTCACATGGTTCAATTGTACTAGGTAGATAGGTATTTGTAATTTGGTACTATCCTTAATCAAAAATAAATTATTTTGGCTCCTCAATACAATGAAATATTAAAAAATACACTCACACTTTCATTAATTGATTTTATGACCAACTTAATTTTAGTATTTTTCCAGCAAAATTTTAAGAAATAAATATGCTATTTGACAATAAAAAAACGTGACGTCACAATACACAATTGAACGAGATTGGGTATTGGTTTTATAGCGTTAAACAGCATACTTATTTCTGAAAAAATTGCTGGAAATATAACAAAATTAAGTTGGTCATAAAACCAATTTATGAAAATGTGATTATTTTTTAATATTTTATTGTATTAAACAGTCGAAATAATTTATTTTTGATTAAGGAAAGTACCCAATCTCGAACAAAATTCACAGAAAACTGTCGTTTTTGAAAAAAGTTCGAAAAAAGTATTGAATTTGAATAGTTAGAAAGTACCCAAGAGAAATCAATCAGTGTCAATCAATGAAACGAAATCAGACAACATGTAAACAACAGTTGCGGAGAGTAAAATAGTGTCGCGCTGTTGGAAAGATTTATGTCCAGCATTGATCGGAAACGGGTTGACGATTTTTTTTTTATATAAACGTTGCCCCACTCTAGGATTATCTCCTGTGTCGTGCGTTTACAAATATATAAGTTCACATACACATGACACCCAGACTCGAAACAACAATTTGTGGATCATACAAAGTGTTCTTCCTTGCGGGAATCGAACCCGCGACACGTTGCACGGCAGCCGGTTGCCCAGCCACCGCACCAACCGTGCAGTCAAATCATCAGATGATGATGTTGAACAATACAGTACGTACTTGCTAAGCATGACGTAGGCGGCATCTGAGACGATTTCCACCTTGCGGCTGGTGGAGCTGGTACCGGTCAACATCTCAATGGCGGCCGTCGCGATAGCTGGAAGGCAACGAAATTGAAATTTAGAAATTTATTTATTTTATTTGCTTCCAACTGAGATAAAATTAACCAACATTTTTGCCCTTAACTAAATTAATGTTACTGTTGTTAGTATATCTCTAATCATTCAGAAGTAAAGCTGTAATAACGCCGGCACTAGAGGCGCTAGTGTAGTTTAAACTGTCAAACACCGCGAGGACACCAGTGACCGCAACCTATTGTTCTTTAATTGTGTCTATAATGACGGTCGTAAAAAGACGGCGGTAAAAAGTCGTGGTGGCCTGGAGGTTGAGACGCCCGCTTCTCATGCATGAGGGTGCGGGTTCGAAACCTACCAAAGGCAAGTACAGTCAGCATCAATAGTCGATGACCACATTCAAATTTTCAAAATCACTGTACATTATATCACCCATAAATCGCTTAACAAGAGAGGGTGCCATTATTGAATGAACATCTTTAAAGTTCAAAATTAACTGAACACTACTCGTCAAAGGTCACTGAACACCATTTTGTCAAAAATTGCTGATCGTTATAATATCCGAAAACATCATATCATTAATTTTTACAAAAGTCACTGAACAATATAAAATGCTTGTTTTGGTTATTTAGTGCAATCACAGCAACGTCCAAAAATAACTTAACATCATTAACAACAAAAGTTACTGAACATTACTTTGTTTCGGATTTGTAGCGTGTAAATTTATACTATCAAAAGTAGCTGAACTGCAAACTAAAAAACGTTGACGATGTTGCTGTATTAGGATTGAATAGTAACCATATTTGGCTATAAAAAATCCCGCAGATTCTGTTTGAATTTATACTATCGCGTAATTAATTATTGTTTAAGTTCGATTGAATTGTAACCTTATTCGTAAAGCATTAAGACTCATTTTAAAAAATCAAGCAGATTCTGTTTAAATTCATACCGTCAACTTTGTTTGTGATTTTTATAGTTACGATTGAATTAGAACTTAACCTGTATACTTATAAGACTCATTTTCAAAATTACCACAAATTCTGTTTTAATTCAATTCTTTGGTAAACATAGTTGTGGGTATTTGAAAAATTGTTTACCCTTGAATGTAAATAGAATATTTCTACTTAATTATCACTTGGATCGGATGTTGCATTGTGGTTGCAATTACTTTTTATCTATAAATTTTTTATTAGTTATCAATTGCGTTTTAGTAACACATAAATATTATAATGCCATATTTTAATCTTCATATTACTGCACATGAACGTCACAGAATAGTGATATTGCGGGAAGAAGGACTTTCTGTTGCCGAAATAGCTAGAGAAATGGGAGTTGCTGTAAGTTATTTTATTTTATGTATTTTGAGATTATACAGGATGTAAATGAGTAGATGTTTTTAAGATACTGTGAATATTATGAGATTATGACATACCTACAACCAAATTGTTTTGTTCCAAATTTCATTCAAATGTATTCAGTAGTTTTATCGTGATGAATAACAAACATTAGCTTTGACATTTATAATATTATTAAGAAAGGATTAATACCAAGACTTATACACACGTATTCGTCACACGAATGTTTGTCCTAAGTGGGAATCTAACAGGGTAGAATCAAAATCGGACGCATAGTATAAGTCACTTCCGATCAATAACGTGTTAGGTTCTAATGCATATTTTTTTGTAGCGTAATACCGTGTACTTGTGGATAAGGCGATGGGATAATGAAGGAAACGTCGATGAAATCAAGAAGACCGGTAGACCAAGAAGAACTTCAAGAACAGGACGTAAATATCATTCGTCAATTCAGAGAGACTCCGTTCATTCAAACCAGAAATGTAGCTATAGCTAACAATATTTCTTTAACCACCGTTCGTCGACGTCTCCACGAAGCTGGTATACATTGCCGAAAACCGGCCCGTAAGTTAAAATTGACTGCTCGACATAAGTTGCAAAGACTTCAGTTTGCAGAACGATATTTAAATTTTGATTTTTCCAATGTAATATTTGCTGATGAAAAGACCTTCAAATCTTCTCAACACGGTCGAATTACGTTATGGAGAATTAATAATACCCGTTATCAAGAGGAGCACTTAATAGAAAATAGATCCAGTGGAAGGATTTCTGTGGGTCTTTGGGGGTGGATGAGTAAAAGTGGACCAGGGGAACTGATAGAAATTGGTGGTCGGCTAAATGCCGAAGGCTACAAAGACATCTTGCAAGATGTTTTACTGCCCACAGCACAAATAGTGTTACCTGATATGGCCCCATTACATTTCATACAAGACAACTGTTCAATCCACATGGCCCGAGTGTGCAGAGCTTGGTTCCGGGATAACGCTGATCACATTGTCGAAATTCCATTCCCACCAAAGAGCCCACACCTTAACCCCATCGAAAACTTATGGGGGCTTATGGTCCAGGCTTGGGATGAAAGCATTCCTCGAACAAGGGCAAATTTACTAAATCACGCCATAGAAATCTGGGAAGATTTTAGGGGACGAGATACTTGTACAAATATGGTTAACTCCATGCGAGAACGTCTCCAAAATGTCATCGATGCCAATGGGGGACACACTAGGTTTTAATTATAAGTAGTCCAAGTTTAACCATAATTGTAATTGATAAAAATCATACCTTGTTTTTGTTTATTAAACATTGATTTGATTATTAAAGTTTAAATTATTTTATTATGATTGTGTTGATTTGTTATTAAAACAAATAATAATTATCTGTATTGATTTATCGAATTATATTTTTGTTAATTAATTTTTGTTGATAATAAATAAGAGTGGTGATTTACATGTGTATGTGTCTACTTAATTTATATACCAAACACCTGCCGAAAAAAATACACACACATATTAAACCCAAAATCGTTTATCCCTGAACAAAATGAAATGGCATTTTGTTCAGAGACTTTAGAGATAAATGATGGTATGCTATTTTTGTCTAAAATTTGTTCAGAAACCTTAGAGACGAAGAATGTTTTGCTTTTTTTACTATAACTTTGTTTAGCGACTTTTGAAAAGTAATGGTCACCTACTTATGCCCTTTTATGATAATCATTCATTTCTGGCGCATGTCATGTTGAGCAATTTAGGTATAATACGTTGTACAGTGATTTTGAAAATTTAAATGTAGTCATCAACTTTTGATGCTGACTGTACCAATGTGACTTTTTTCGAGTTATATGTACTTTCTAAGATTATTTAGACACCACTGACAAACGGTGACAGAAAACATCGTGAGGCAACCTGGACTTATAATTTCTAATTATTAGTTTGAAATCGCCCACCATTGAGCAAGCGTGGTGATTAATGCTCAAACCTTCTTCGTGTGAGAAGAGGCTTTGCTCAGCACTGGGCACTTATAGGCTGTTGATGAGTATGATGATGATAATGACGGTACTCAAAGGGTTAAGGTCTAGCTAAGGTTGTCAGTCAATCAACTTGCGACAGACTAAGTTGATTGGACTATCAAGACATAAAGCTTCACTAGCGCTGTATGGTGAACTTTCGTTTAGGTTTAATATTCTTTTTTTTCGCATACGTGAACGGTGCAAACCAAATCTACGTACGTTATTTATTATTCGTGAAATATAAAGAATAGGCATGATGACGGGGTATGAAAATTAAAAATCTAATTAGTCTGTCGATTAGGTAATGAAAAAATATTAGACACATATTTTTTTATTTTGATGTATAATAAAATGATACTTAGATATAACAAATTAAAGTCAGGAGTGGGGGCTAAAAGGTCATTTCTACGTATAAAATGTACATAGAAGTGACGTCACGTGACATTTCAAATCAATATATCGTCGAAAGTATTTGTTTCTGAAAAAAAAATTAAAAATACGTGTCTAATATTTTTAAATAATCTACTAGACGGACATTAAAATAATAATTAGTCATCTACCCTATTAGCAAGTTATTACATACCAGTCTTGGGCCAGAGAGCATTGACTGCGATGTTGTCCTGCTTGAACTCTTCAGCCATACCGAGCACACACATAGACATTCCGTACTTAGCCATCGTGTAAGCTACGTGCACTGAGAACCTGAAACATCAAATACAAACATATCCCTTCAAGAACGATATTTTTTTTGCAAACTTTATTTTCATTTCAAAAGGATTTAAAAACAATCTTCCCCAATCTCCCAACTCCTGAATCCCCAACAATCCTCAAACTCCTAATTGGAGAAAGGCCGATAACGGACTTGTAAACGCTTCTGGTGTTCCAGGTGTCCAAGTGCGACGCCGATTGCTTACCATCAAGTGATACGTCTGCTCGTTTACCGGCTTATGCCATAAAAAAAACAATTAATGATAAAACATTTAACCATATTACGAACGATATTTAGTTTTCGTATTGAATCCCCAACGATCCTCAAACTCTTAATCTCCAAAAGGCCGATAACGCACTTGTAACGCTTCTGGTGTTCCAGGTGTCCATGTGCGACGCCGATTGCTTACCATCAGGTGATACGTCTGCTCGTTTACCGGCTTATGCCATAAAAAAAAACAATTAATGATAAAACATTTAACCATATTACGAACGATATTTAGTTTTCGTATTGAATCCCCAACGATCCTCAAACTCATCTCCAAAAGGCCGATAACGCACTTGTAACGCTTCTGGTGTTCCAGGTGTCCATGTGCGACGCCGATTGCTTACCATCAGGTGATACGTCTGCTCGTTTACCGGCTTATGCCATAAAAAAAACAATTAATGATAAAACATTTAACCATATTACGAACGATATTAAGTTTTTGTATTGAATCCCCAACGATCCTCAAACTCTTAATCCCCAAAAGGCCGGTAACGCACTTATAACGCCTCTGGTGTTGCAGGTGTCCATGGGCGACACCGATTGCTTACCATCAGGTGATACGTCTGCTCGTTTACCGGCTTATGCCATAAAAAAAACAATTAATGATAAAACATTTAACCATATGACGTACTTTATTTAGTTTTTGTATTCTTGATCCAGCAGTTGAATTATTAAACTAGCCGGCAAGAAACCAATAAATATTTAATTTCTTACTTTGTTTAATGTTTGCTGTTTAGATAATTCACTGTTAATGCAGTTGTTTTTTTATAATAACTATCGTGAGACATACTAAATTAAGTAAAAACGCGGGTTACTCACGTGAATATACTGAGAAAAGCTCTACTAGTTTCGAACCACAGAGGGGTTCTTCTTCATGAACAGCGTGCGCGGTCGCAGCGACGTCGCGCAGCTCACTGTGTAAGAGTGAGCCTCTCTGTGATTCGAAATTAGTAGAGCTTTTCTCAGTATATTCACATGAGTAACCCGCGTTTTTACTTAAGTTAATCAGTTGGTTGAGCAAATGGCTGCTGCGTAACTTAACGTGTCCAAACTCATTAACACCTTTAGACTAATGCAAATACTATTTATGATTATTTATAATTGGTAGTACTCACCAGTAGGGGTTCATGTTGAGGGGAGGCGACAGGTTGAGGATGTGAGCATGGTTGCTGGCCTTCAGGTAGGGCAGGCACAGCTTGGAACTGGAAGAGATAGTTATAGAATAACACATGGTAACACTTCTGAGAGGCTGTAGTATCACTTGTAGTGTATAAGTAGTATGTAGCTCATGCAAAGTTTTTTTTTAATTGTTTAACAATCTTTATTATTATTTTCATGGACAATATACCTTGTTTACGTTTAACCAAAAAAAATATAAATATTTACGTCAAACTTCATGGCCAAAGCCGTCAAAGCATGACTGATTACTTCAATTTACCTAGAGATTTGATGAAGGGAAATAAACTGAAAGAATTTACATAATTCCAACAAGAGGGTAATTTATTAAATTACGCTACGGGCGTTATTTTGCATATTGTTTGTGTTGGTATTTTACTCTGCTGATTGATTCAATAAGAATCGAAAAATAACTAGTTATTTAAAAAACTACATATCGTTTTACACATCCCTATTTATAGATGTAGGAACAGTAAAATCTATACCAAATTAGTGTCTTAGTTTTACCTTAACTTTCACCTCATTACATTTCCGACTTTATTACAAACCAATAAGAATTCAAAATTAAACACAATTAATAGTGTACTTACGCCAAGAACGTTCCCCTGGTGTTGATGTTGTGCATGAGGTCGTATCTCTTCATGTCCGTGTTGGCGGTGTCAGTGAGAACAATGGCGGACGCATTGTTCACCAAGATATCGATGCCATTGAACTGGAATGCAAAGAAAAAACATTATACATAACTACTTAAACTGTTTTAACACCTTTTCCATTAAGTAAGTTTATATCCTAAATAGAGGTATTTTTAAATTAAATATATTTAAAACTAGCGACCCGCCCTTGACTTCGCACGGGTGCAATATGCACGTATATAAACCTTTCTTAAGAATCACTCTATTAAAAAACCGCATCAAAATCCGTTGCGTAGTTTTAAAGATCTAAGCACACATAGGGACAGACAGACGGCGGATAAAGACTTTGTTTTATACTATGTAGTGATTGTGAATTATGAATTATGAACCCAGTGATTGATTAGTTCCGTAAATTACGCATAAAAAACATTTCTAAGCAAAAATTAAAAAAGTTTTTCTATACTACAATCAATAGAAATAAAGTTTATGGGCTTTCTGATGGTAAGTGATCACCGTAGCCTAAATAGGTAGGTAAGTACATCTACTACACTGTAGGCATCATAAATATGTTACCAATCATATAGGATATTACTGCGGCATTAAAAACTTAATACCCATTTCCTCTTTTACTTCACAAAGGATTATAGGAACAAGATTATCAACAGATAAATACATATCGGCTTATATAGTACAATCATAACAAAAAATAAACTGCCCAAAGATCATCGCTATATTTAGTTTATATTTTGAGACTTCAGATAAATAATTCAATAAGAGCTGGACTTTGATCAAATATAAAAGTCTAAAGTCCAAATGAACGGCATTCATGAATATTTACTATTTAATCTAACAAGTTTATAATCATTTGGAAAAATACAGGATGTAGTATGAACATTATCGACTTGTTCTAAATAAGATGCCTCGTTGGCCGAATGGTCGCAAGTATGACTGGCGGGCAAGGGATCTCGGTTTCGGTTTCCGGGTCGGGCAAAGCCTTATTGGGTTTTTAATTCTTAGTTGTAGCACGGAGTCTGGAATTGTGCCCGGTATATGGCAATAAGTTCACCCCCTATTACATGGGACTCATAACATAAATAGTGAAAAGTAGGTGATACATTGTACAGTACCATAATGTGCACCTCTGCCTTCCCCTTCGAGGATAAAAGGCGCGATATTATGTTGTATGATGATGTTATGTTCTAAATAAGATGATACAAATACAGGACTTATTAATAAAAACCTTAACTTATTGGCGATTTGAATGAATTGATTGACGCAATATATTTGAGTGAAAAAGAATCAACGAATTCAATGTGCCTGCATCTTAATTTTTAAATACTACCAAGTACAGTTACACAATTTACACATACATAAGACTGTAGACAGATTAATAATTGGACCCTGTTATCATATGATACAATACCTATTTAATAGGTACTGTGTCATATGATTTTTTTTTTATCTGCCCAACATTAAACTTCATTTACTCAAAAGTAATAAAGTATTAAAGGATCTTTTCTGCTTAACAGGGTCCAATTAATAATTTATTGAATAAGAGTGGAAAGATAAAGAATGAACTCACATTAAATAATCATTTATAGTGTAAAAAATTACATGTAGTTTTAGTTTTACAAGTATTGTAAGCAAATATTACAGGTTGATGACAGGGTATGAAATTTAAAAATCTAATTAGTCTGTAAGTTAGGTAATTAAAAAATATTAGACACGTATTTTTTTGTCGTATAATAGAACAATACTTAGATAAAACAAATCAAGTTCAGGAGTGGGGGCTAAAACGTCATTTCTACTTATAAAATGTACATAGAAGTGACGTCGTGCGACATTTCAAATCAATATATCGTCAAAAGTATTCGTTTCTGTAAGAAAATAAAAAATGTGTGTAATGATTTAAAATAATCTACCAGACGGACATTAAAATAAAATTTAGGTAAATTTTAAATTTAAATCTACCCTATTCTCATAATTGTATATATCTCATTGTTGTTCGGTTTGCACTACTGAGGAAATTAAGTTTCCATTCAAGAAGACATTTTTGGTGATAAAACTATCATAAACTTTGCCTTTGAAAAAAATAATGCCCAAACATATTTGGTGATCAATATGAATGATATTTACCTTCTTGACAGCCTCATCAACAGCCTTCTGGATCTGTTTCTCATCCCTTACATCTACAATGCAAGGCAGGGCCTTGCCTCCTAGCGCTTCAACTAAAACAAAAAAAGTTTAGTTTAGCTTTGTGAATATTAAAAAAAGGCATAATACCAAAATAGAGGTGTCCTAAAGGGACTTGAAGAACTCAAACACAAATAAGAAATGTCACTTAACCGTTGAAAATCATTCCCTAAATTTGTTCATACAAAAGTAGTCTCTAAACATTGGAAATAAGGTCTATAATGTAGTTGGTGGAGAGCGGTCGACAGTGGCAGTGACATGGGTTAAATAAACACAGAGAAAGAAATGCCTCTAAAAAGTTTACATACCCACTTTGTTTTAAAACTTTCTATGATTATGCACAAATGCATATTGTACAGTTATAACGGACATTTGCATTTCTAATTGGAATATTATGAGTTTACTTTTTGTTTGAAAACTAATTGCTTGCTTCTAGCAAATTAGGTAAATGTTTTAATTTATTTAAAATTAAAACAAATTAGTTTTCATACTCAACATTAATATGATAGTGTAAGGAAAATCTTATTATAGTAATTAGCAGGTTGGTGTTTAAATTAGAGTGAATTGAATATCTTATGTACCAATAGGATAGAATAGAATTTGAAATGTGCATGTACCTACAAATTAGTAAAAATTGCCTAGTTATTCAAAATTACATAAATATTGCAATCAAAATGATCATATTGCTGTATTGTAGAAGATTATGGCTGATTACAGATAGAGTATCTATGATAAACTTTCATCAAAATGGAAAAATTGATCATGTTTTATATCTTTACTTCCTGGATCTTTCATTCATATCATATTTTACAAAGCAGTATAGTACAATATTTTCACTATTAGGTAAGGAAGGTAAATATGTAAATAAACAAAGGTCATTAACCTGATTAGCATTTGAAATTAAAACATTAAAGCAGACTGAATATTCATTGTTACTCAATGGCCATATCTACACAAATTTGTCTGAATCGTTTACAAAACAAATCCATCTAGGTCATTAATGTTGGTCGAAGTCCAACGCAAAATGGAGGGCAAAGTCCAACTCATATAAACAGACATTTATCAACCAATCTTCCAATTATGAATGAAATACAGTATTACATTATAAATAGACCTTATGAGAACTTGATAAAGTTACTTTTATAACTTACTTTCTTCAGCTGCCGTGTAAATAGTGCCAGGTAGCTTGGGATGCGGGTCAGCTGTTTTAGCGGCAATAACAACGTTGGCACCATCCTTCGCGGCCTTCAGGGCAATAGCCTTACCAATACCACGGGAGGCACCAGTAATAAACAGCGTCCGTCCAGCCAATTTCCTAATTATACAACGATTCGAAAAATTAGAAGAAAGTAGATCACACAACTGTACAGACTTTAAATACAAATTTCTTACCCGGTGTTAGCCACTAAACTCATTTTGAAATGATTATTTTACAATCTTACAGAAAAGAAAAGTTTAAAAGTCCTAAAACTGAATAATAAATTCAGTTCGATGCTAGTTTTCTTTTTTAAAATAATTCGCTTGACAAGTTGACAACGTCAACCAACACCACCAGCGAAGTGAATGAATCTTACAGAAAATGACATTTTGTTTTTGACACCAGTCAGTCAGTGTCAACTTCTAATCTGACAGACAACGGAAGTGATAACTTTTGATAAACTATGCGAAAATGTTGCCACCATTCACTTTAAATTCAAAACTTGCGAGTTGCGATTGCAAGTTGCGAATGCGACCCGTTTGACTTTTAACGCTTTCATACAGATGCAGTAAGACTTCCGTACTTTTTTTTATGTAAAATATTGTACTAAGAATGATGAGTGGCTACACTTTTTGGAGTGTAAGAATAGGAGAGAATTGGAAAAAACATGCTGTATCTTCTCTAAGCCAGGATAAACGAAATAATAATTACAAGTAAAAGATGTAGATTCCTGAATTCTTTTCTAAAATATCGTAATAGGGAAAAGATATAGTTCCGATGCGACCTGAATGACAACAGCATTCACTTGTACTATGCACATATTGTGCTTATAGTTTGGATAACTGATCGCAAAATTCAAAACAGGAAAATCCTTTTCTAACAATAATATTGCAAATACATCTATCTTAGGCGTCTGTCATGGGGCATTATTTTAAACTAGGTAGGTATTTTTGAACAAGTGTAAATTTCTAATTATTATATCTAAATTAGATAGGTACTCACTTAGACTTTCTTAGAATTTAGACCCTAAGAATATAAATAAAATAAATAAAAGACAGGGAAAGATTTGAAATACATTTATTTTTGTGCATGATTTCATATCCTCACTCTCGCTAACTTCTAATGTACAACACCAGATAGGGTGAATACATACAATGATAATCTAAAATAAAACTTTAAATTATTATACATATCATAAGACATTCAGTTAGGCTTTATTAAAATTGCAATATATCTTTATTTATTTTATGGCTCGAATCGTTGATAATTTCATTTCATAAATTTTATTCTGTTCTAATTTACACTCTCTTTTGTACATAGCAATAAACTAGAGAATTTACAATTATTACATTAAATATCATAAAATCATTGTAAATTACAGAACTCTTGAGTATTATAATATATTTTAAATTAATGTATCATTCAGTCCTTTCGCAAACATGCCTATAGAATAATACTCATTTAAATTAAGTATTTATTTAAATAACAAAATAATTTATTAGGAGATCTAAACATCTATGAAATTCATTAAAAGTAACACAATCCTACACAGTGTAGGGAAAGACAATTTTGTGGCTGTTTACAATTTATGTGAAAACATATTTTAAGTGCAAACCTAGACATACTTAATTTCTTGTAACAAAACAAAAATTGGAAAACTCAAGTTATTTACAAAATAACTTTTTGACATTCACACATTTAAAATTATCAAAATATATCTACACAATTGATTATTATTAAGATAGATTACATTACATTCAAATTATTTACACTTACGCTACTCCTTTATTCGTTTAGAAACTTTTTATTCATAAAATTGCCTGGGATAAGTAGTCCTTATCATAGTTCCCTACCAAAGTAGATTAGTTAGCAACGGTGGTAAAATATTGATGATAAAATGACTGAATTTCGACCAAGATGATGCAACAAATAATACTCAATTTATCAAGTTGATATTTTGGATAATCTCATAATCTTTGTGTTATCTTATTGCTTTTAAATCACATAGTGCTGATAGAACTGTTCATAGTAGTCATCATGGATTAGGTAGATAATAAATGTAACCCTGTTTACCTCAGCGATATGATTTTTCAGTGTTACCTTTAGAAAATAATGAGGCACTTCAGAAGAAAAAGTATTGTTTATGTACCATGTACCAACCAAAGAAAAATTATGAATATGTTCGGTTCTTTTTTAATTTGAAACAACTTTAAAGTTTCATTTTCACTATGATGTAGAAGATAAATGTACCATTTTTTTTGTTAAGGTATCTGAATTACATTTAAGATAGGTAATCGAGTTTATAATCTAAGATAGATTAAATTCATTGATAGAACTACGTAAACAGCACGACGAGAAGAGAAATTCATCTAAACAGGAATAGCTATTTCTTTAAGCATAAACTATATATACCTGTCTAACAAATAATCCAAGGAAAGCGACAATATTTTACAGTGAAAAGCACCATAAATTCTGTAATATTCACTATCATTACTCACAACTTCCATTTAACTATTTAAAGCATTAACATAATCAGAATTGGCACCAAAACGAAACGAATAATGTAAAAAAATGTTAGTCACTGTAGAAAGTATAATAATTTAGTAATTGTCTTACTTATCGAAAATATATAACCGTATAATTGACAAAACGATGGCCGATCAGAAGCATCTAGGTAGGTTTAAGCATCGTTAGTTTCATCATAATTGTGTGGTATGTCTAGGCGGTAAAATATTCGAACGGCTAAAATTCAAATTTATGTTTATTTACAAGCGCTAACTACCTTCCTACGGTGACTAAGTTTCAACACTATATTCTATGCCACGAAAAAATATTTCTATCATTTGCCTAGTATATAAAATCTGTTCAAATGTAGGCAGGCTGCTTGGCTGAATGTTGCAGCGCTGCCAACACATCGTGTTTGAGCCTGACGTACAATCTTCCTTTTCTCCACGGATTTTGAAGTTGCAGAGGTCTAAAGTCGTCTCGGAGGCATCTTTCGCGAGCGCCGATAACGGCTACAAGACAGAAGTCCTGTAGTTTCTCCGGGCCATAAACGGGACCTGCTTTGCCTTTTAGCACGGCGGCCATGTTGAGTTGTTTGACAACTAGGTCGATGACTTCCCGCGCCGATGTGCGCGGCGTCACGTGCAGCTTGAGCGAGGTGCCCGCCGCCAGACCGGTTTCGTATGCAGCGAATACCTGGAAAAATTGTATGTAGGTATCATTAATGCATTCATAATTACAGATTGATGTAACACTCATTTCCATAACTGAAATCGCATTTAGGTGTGTGTTCATCATAAGAAGTTGCATACTAGTGTGAATTATATAAAGTACCTATCCAAATACAAAACACAGACCACTCAATTACAGCGAATTTAAATAATGTGTACCTGTAGAATGCCAGCTTGGTCTTGAGCCCGTTGCTCCTGCGTCTTCGCATCTTCGCTCTCTCTTCTCTCATCAGTCTTTGGAACTTTATTGTTATACTCAGCGTCCTCCTGCGTCTCCAACAATGGCTGACGTTTGACGCACAGGTTTGACTTGGCGTACTCCTGCCCTGTGTCTGTGAAGTCTACGTCTCCTTTTACATTCGTCATACTTTTTGATGCTATAACATTACAAGGGGCCCTATAATGTTTCCCTTGAGGACGGACTTTCAAAGGAACTGTCGTCAGTGGACAGGTTTGACTTTCGGAATCACTTGACAGACTTTGGGCGGACTCAGAAACATTACCTTTAGACGTGCGAACACTTATCATACTTCCTGGATAATATCCCTTCACTGTTAGCAGAGGACTTGATGTAGTAGAACTAGCGTTGATGCTGTGCGGTCTGGGCTTCGGTTCGACGTTTTCGTTTTGGAGTACCAGGGTATCTTCACTTCGAGATGGCGGTAACCGATTGCTACCAATGCTGTTGTGAGAACCAGCTGAAGACTTTATATCGAATTGTGAATTACTACTCATGAAATTGTTGCTCATAGCACTGGACTGTGTGTACTGGGAGTCGGCACTGCCTTTTCTTGGAAATTTATCCGAGTCCGGGTTTAAGAATTGCGAGCTGCATAAATTCATAGTAGACACTGATGTCTGCCGAGGAGAGAGACTTAACTGTTGTTCGGATTTACTGAACTCTGGATGTAAGTTGGCGTGGTTACCGTTACCTGCAGGGCCAGGCCATGACCCTCGACCAGGGGAAGTTTTGGTAATTTTGCCATCTCTCGAAGGTATCTGAAGAAAGTCTTTAAATTTGCTATCTGTCTCATTGACCTCTACAGGATTCTCCGCAGACTGTGACGGTGTTTTGTCTAAAATGTATTTGAGCAATATGCCAGAACTTGGCGCTGCCTTGTCTTTATCTCTCGCGAAGCCTATAAGGTCCATGAGCCATCGTTCTGCCTTCCACACTGTATTTAGATTATTCTGCAAGTCTTCTAGTTTTGTTAGTCTCTCTTTGGCTGTCTGTAGTTCTGTGCAAGAAAATGCTTCTCTATGTGAGTGAGCAGCTAAAGCTACATCCAATTCTAGAACACAGCTGAGCTTTGAGTATTTATGCAGAATGTTTGTGTGGTACGTCTGTAGGTGGATCATTTCAAATGCTTGTATGGGTAAGCTGAGTAGATCACCTTTCTGTAAGAGAATTTCCTTCTGGCCTGGCACTGAGCAGGCCTGCTCCGCGGGCGGACATATCATGATAAAACTGACGTCGTTGTTTAGTTCGACTACTTCAAGGTCGTATATTCGGTGGGATATGACACTTTCTATTGGAATGTCCATCTCCTTGAAGAGTCTTCGTGCGCCTGAGGCGATAAGATCGAGGAACATTTCTTGAGATTCTGAGGGTTTCTCCTGGCCAATGATGGCGAGACTGTTGATCGTTTGTGGGTCCTCCAACTTGCCCGATTGGTTTTTCAGGTATTCCCATTCTTCACTGCAATATAAGGAAGAAGAAGTTATTTATTGATGGTAATTAATAGGAAATAGAACTATCTGGATTTTATAAGTGTGTGTAATACGTACGCCGAAACATGTGGATTGTCTCGCACGCGCGTGTGTGGCGGCACGTTGGGAGTGCGGGCGGGGGCCACGATCCTCACAACCTCCACCGACGACTGCAGCTTCAGGTAGCCCAAGTACAATCCACGGGGCAGTTGTACACGAGATACCTATAAATAGAACGATAGAGTTTAGATAAAAACAGGCTTTTTACTACATCCGAAACCAAAATATGTACAAATAACAGATTATTTTCTGACTTCAACTTTATTTTTTATTCGTTAGGTTTTGCTTACCTGATGATAAGCGATCTGTTCATGAACAGAAGCCATGAGCAGTTCCCCAATGGTATTGTCTTCACTGAGCACTCTCCGCCGCAGCCTGGAGACGGCCGCCCAGCGCGAGTTGAGCGCGGACACTGACTTCACTGACTTCACGCTGTTCACACATGACAGGACGATTGTGCCGTGAGAATCGCGGAGAGGCTTGTGGTACAGCTGACCTGGAAGTTTTTAAGAACAGAGAATATAAGAATAACAAGTTTTTTAATAATTATAACTATTCCCGATTTTCCCTAAGGCAAACGTAATTGATACGACTGCATTCAAAAGGCAATTTGCGGTTGGATTGCAGTTGAAATGCGATTCGTCTGTTTAGAGCCTAAAGGTAACCTTTTAAGCCTTATGTATTGTCAGAATGAAGTATGAAACTACAGTAAATTGTTCCTTACCTAAGTCCTGTATGCACAATGCTGACTGCATCTGAGCGGCTGCAGTGAGGAGTTTCAGTCTGAAGTGTATGGAGGAAGATGTGTGCTTCTCCATGTCCGACCGCAGCGCCTTCACGTCATCCCAAGAACATGACACCTGGAAGAACGAATTAACTATATTAAGATGGGTTTTTCTGGATTGGGATGTCAATTTTAAGAAGGGAAACAGAGTGGAGTCGTTGTTCAGTGAATAAGAATAAAAAGAAGAAGGATTAATGGACATTAAGTATGAAGAAATAGATTGTCCACATACATCTTACATGTAAACAATGCTTTGAACATGAATGAAATAATTACCTTCATGAGCCAATGGAAGTCGGTGTAAATACAGGTAGGGTAGGTCTCATCCACTTCGATGACCGGGAGGAACTCTTCGCTGGTGACTAATACTTTGTCCTCATGGTATAAGATGCAAGCAAGGTAGACGCCCCTGAAATATTAGAATAAGACTGTTTAAAAACAGAACTACACCAGGGAAAATATGGTTGAGAGTTGAGTAGATGAGAAAATTCTTTGGTTACTATCAGGATCGGGATAAAAGATAATTGTTTAAATCAGCATGAACACAGAGTAAAAGTACTTAAGTCAAAGTCAAAGTCAAAATCATTTATTTCAGTTAGACCAGAAAGGCACTTTTGAACGTCAACAATAAAATTAAAAGTGAAGCTATTTGCTCATTCCAAGGTGTAGATTCCTATGGAGAAGAACGAACAAGAAACTCCATAGGTTACTCTTTTTCAATCAGGTTCACAATACAATTCTCTAGTTACATAGTTTGCTGCTTAAGGTATCATCATAATACCTTTGAAGGAGTTTTGGGAATAAAATACTGGTACTGACGTTATTCATTAGACAATCCTAGAATCTACTAACGTACCTTCTGAGGTTCTTCTGGAACTTGCTGGCTGCAGTGAAGAGCTGTCGGATGGTAGCTGTCTTCTTTCGTGGCAGGCGTGCGTGCGGTGCTAAAGGTCTTGCGCGCGCGCTGGCAGCCGCCGCCGTCAGAGCTTCCAGAGCAGCGGCGGCCCCACCTGATCCACGACAACCACGTGCGCATACGTCACGCCAACCTGGTGGTAATGGATTTATTAGGACTTTTGCGAGACTATTAGATATTGTCTTCAAGATACCAATTGTAGTATAGAATAAGGTACAGTATCAAGTTACAGTACAAATGTACAAATGTTGAATCTTAGCTGTTGCGTAAATATTTTTTTATAGGAAGCACATTGCAACTTAATCAAGACTTACTGCTAGGCACCACACTCCTAGGAACAGATACGGTGTAGGCGCCCCATCCTTTGATATTCCCTGCAGCAGCTCTGAAGAAGTACCGTCTGCCGCGAGTCAGGCCGGCAGCCAGAACTTTTGTACCACTGTTGGTGCCTGACGCGGCCACCTCACGGCAACCACATACGTTGGAGAAGTCCGCTCGAGATGACCATTCGACTGTTGAAGACGGGCAAATTAGAGACACACCCTTTAGATAACATAGACAGTATATTGGCAAAATAACTTAGTAAGCTTCCTAATTTTTTAGTATTAATTACCAAATTTTTCAATTTGAACTTTCAGTAGATGCAAGGTGAGTGAATTTTAGCTTATAGAGAAAGTTCTTTGATGTCAGTGTAGACTATGGAAAATGTATTGATATTCTAAAAATAGGATATGGATCAACAATAAGAATAACACTAGGAGCATCCAAGTCTTCTTGAATTTTGTTTTGACGAACACTAACTTTTGTTTCCACTAACCTTTATACTTGGTGATGATGGGCTGGTCCTTGGCAATGGGCTGCATGGCTCGGGTGTCCTTCAGTCGCACGGTGACGGCATGAGCTCCACATACTTCGAGCTCTGGTGCTGGGGGAGCTGGTGGTACGCGGGTTTGTTGCCAGCCTGCTACTAGACGCCTGGAGATAGTCATGGCGATTTATTAGGCGATGGTTGATAGCCAAACCCGTTGATGAATGATTAAAGACTGCCAGTTGAATGTAACAGTTTTAGAGGATGTTGTTGGGTGGTTTCCTACCTGTATTTTCAGATAGGCACGACCAGTAAGTATGATTCAAACATTGTAAGTGCAATGACTGGCTACTTAGAAGACGATATTGTTTTAGCACAAAATACTTATCGGAATCACTCAAATGGATACGCGAACAGAGACAAGATAATCAACTTTATCACCTTAAAAATCTAGTTTATTTATCACAAACATTTTGGCAATGTTTTTTTTTATTTATTGGCCCTTTTAGAATTCCGTACTTTAAGGGTCACCCTTCTACAAGAGAGAAACGTGCACTGGGCTTTAAGATAATTTTGCGTCTGTCCAATTGTGTTCACCTATCAATTATAATGCTTATGCTCATTCAGCTATGTCATTTATGTGTAAAAAAAGACGTTACATCACACTATTGTCCTATATCATTTGCAATTTTCAAAAACAAGTGTCCCAACCAACCTAAAAACACATCTATCAATTATAATACGAGAATTGAAAAGGGGATTGTCCATATGGGCCATTATTTTATTCTTGTCAGTGTTTTTGACAGTACGGAGCCTTTATCATAGACATATTCGGTTTTAACCAGTTCTTATTTACACGCGAACATTTTCCAATCAGAAGTAAACACGATTCTTGGAAGTAGTGTGTCGTGATTGAGCAGATTGTTTCTATCAACCAGATAATGTAAACGTAACATTACTTTCTTCAACTAGGTTCATGCCCGTTCGTATCGTGAGTGATGTAATCTCTATGATAATGTCAGTATCTTCTTTCTTATTAGAATCTGTTACAAGGTTCTTTATAGATTTCATTCTATTGCAGATAACAATGTAATTGTGTGTATCTATAATTGCTTGGTTGCTGTGCGGTTTTGAAGTTTATGGAAAATATGACTAGAAATTATCTTTATATTATAGTCAGTTGACAATATTTATTTTATGCTCATTTTGTACAGTTCACGGAGCACGAAGACTGGAAATGTGCCCGGTATATGGCAATTACTCCCTATTACATGGGACTCATAACATAAATAGTGAAAAGTGGGTGTTATTTTGGACTGTGGCATTATGTGCCGTAGGCAATGTGCACTTCTGCCTACCGTTTCGGGGGTAAAAGGCGTGATGATATGTTATGTTATGTTTGTACAGTTAATTTCATTGATCAATCTAGTTTGACTTTAGTTCATCAGACTTTAAGGGTCCATACTTGTTCATGTTCATGCTTGCGGTCAGCCGGACGGCTAGCCGCAATGCGGGTACCCGCATAGTGCGTATGAACCCTAAGATCTTGTATCAATAATTGACTTACTTGAGCGTCCTAACTCTCCTCTCCCAATGTTGTGCTTGCTTGTCTTTCTCAGAGCCAGCACCACCAGCACATCCCGTCGTGCCAGCTTGATTAGCAGCCGATGATCTGCAACAGTAAAATAATAATTGAAATCTATAGTTTATTGAACAATTAAAGTGACTGGTTAAATGATTGAAAATATTGTGACTGTTGACGTTTAGGTTAGACAGATCCTCTATCTTTAACAAAACTGGGAGCAAAGGATATGTCTTATCTCCATTAAGCATATCCTTTCCTATAAGGAGTTATAAAATATATTTTTCAAAAACGTTGCTGTCTACCCATTTTAGAGAAGTCTACAAAGAAGAACACAAGCGTCTATGTTGTCTCGTTAAGCTTGTTAATTCTTACATGAAGTTGATTAATATTCGCATACATAACATCTTGTTAGGTCGTCGCTTTGTGAAGTTTTCTCCCACCTACGTCGACGACATATTTTAAGGGAAATTTTGGATTTTAAAATAAAATTAAGAAGATATGAAATACCTAATATTTTGTTTGTACTGATTTATTGGAATCGAAATATCAATTCATCAACTAATTTGATCAACATGATGATATCGCAAAAAACCCATGTCTCCAAAAAAGGGTGAAAATTCAGCTGTTTAGGAAGGAATTAAAGGAAGAAGGAACAATGAAGTAAGATGTGGTTCAGTTTACCTGGTACAGGCATCTTCTCTGCAAGTTCTCTCCGGTGCACAGCCTGTCACCTCGTGTAGTTTAGACTCCGCCTCGCGAGCCAACCGCCGCAGATGTGTTCCCAATGAGTCTGAGTTCTTGACTGTAACAATATAAAATAATATTAGAACAGGAGTTCTTATGCAAAAAATATTCACAAACCAACTGGACCACGGAGGAAAGCTTTAACAAAATTAAGGTTTAGTGAATGTTCTTTTAACTAATTCCTTAGTTACGACGCGAGTACCTACTTAAATAGTAACATTAAATTAAGGTTTTTTGATAACCATAATAGTTTTTAAGCTTCGAAATCATGTAAGCAGATACATATCTACTTTCTATTCTATACATATAGAAAGCTTTTGATACATGAAATTCCCGATCCCGAAAATATTGACATAACTGCCTCTAAAGTCCTATTTCCAATTTACTAACACAATCATCAATCCCTGTATCCGAATATTTCGCTCAAACATTCCACGTAACGTTCCAATCGCAATAACAAAAGCGTCACGCATTCACCGATGGCTGATCGCACTGCAAAATGTATTTAGATCAATCAGTTGAATACCGACCAGCGATCAGCTAACTACGGTTAATCGTGGATTCATGTCCCGTTTCCAAGCTGGTCGCGTTCACTCATCACAAAACTGATTAATTTGCTGACGTACAGATTAATTGATTGTCCACGGTTCGACGGCTAATTGGTTTCATGCTTTCGTTTACAATTTGATGGGAATTATTCGTATTTTCCTAAACCGTACCGTTTTGCATAAAGGATTAGGAACCTACACTGAAAAATATTGCCTGGCTTACAGCCAGTCAGTACGCTAATAATTGGGAGATTTTCAGGTTAAAACTTAATATTGGTTACAATAACCCATACCAGAATCATTTTACTACAAATTCTATCTTTATTGGATAACAGAGAAGCTCGTACAACAATGATGTTTAATTTCAAAATCATATCCAGAAAGGGATCAGATTACGTAATAAGACGCCAGAAAATACTGATTTCATCAGAATTAAAGAATTACTCTTCCATGCAAACCCAAGGCCAGGCAAAGCAGCTTAAAGGTAGGTTAGAGGTACTTTAGCGTCTTCTATTACAGCCCTGTTTGTTTTAGAGTAAGTAAAGGCATTATAGGCATTATTATTCATGATCATGGCCTCCTTTATGGTTGCTTTTAAAAAAGTGGCGACAGTATTTTTGTAACGTGCAAAAATGAGATGTAAGATCAATGTTTATGTTGCAGCGGAGTGCTTTAAAGCGCTTTGACACATCGCGGGTAATAGTCTTCGTGCTGGAAAAATAAAAGTGACAATACACTTTTGTGTTTCCTCGTAATAATAAAACTTATTCGGCGTTTCCGTCGGAAACATTTCGAGTTCTCGGCTTTTGAGAATATTGGGAAAAGTTACCGTAACTTTCTATTCTCTACGTAATAAAATTGATACAATATAAGTAGTGAAGTTCGAAGTCATATTATATTGTGTGGGAGTTCTATTTACGGTACGAACCTGCGGGATTTTAACGGCGAAACTTTTGTGAAACTCTTCAAAGTTTTTAAAGACGTTCAAGAAATTTTATGTAAAAGCCATAGACGGTTTCGTTATTCTCATATTGTTTGTCGGATAAATAAATGTCTACTCTAATTAAAAAAGAATTGTATCGTAATTTTTTATCTAAAAAACAGTCACATTCCGGCAAGACAGGATATGTATAATAAACCCCTCATATCATTAAAAATTATATAAGCAACATTCAATCTTGTATTACTAATATGGAGAAAATTCCGCAGCCGTTTTTTGCGACATTTTTTGGCCGCGAACATGGCCGGAAAAACACATTTTTTCGTGTAGGTATACGTTCGATCGGGCGTTGAACCCAAGCCGTAAATATTTTTCTCTTAGCTTTATAGAGTCTACGCGGGCTTTTAAGTTATCAATCTTTTGGGAGTGACAGTATTCCTGATTAGGTATCTGTCTTTAGACCATGGACTATGCCATGTAAAAAACTCTTAATACAAAATCTGTTCGTATAAAATCGTGTACGTATAGATACTGAAAGTGACCTAATGATGAAAACCTTAGTACCTATGTTTTTTTTAGGGGTAAAATCATCCAAAGTCTTCTCCCACCTTGGGTTAGGCGTTGTCAGATTCTTACAGATTAAAAACCAGCCCGTTCCTACTCCTGCACTTGGAGGCAGGGCCCGGCAACCCGCTAAGCCTTCCGTGGTTTCTTTTTACGTTTTTAAAACAAACCCCGTTTCTGGCTTACAAAATACCTGGAAATTATTCATTCACCTTAGTAGAATATAATATGGAGGGTGAAGGCGTCGCAAAACCTCGTAAAGGTTGACTGTTTTACATTTTGACGGAATACATCGACGCTACACGCAATGTTTGGTCGACTAGAAGACCTGATGTATACGACCTACTTTGATAGTTATTCATAAGTTAGGAAACAGACTGTATTTACGGTATAAAATCATTATTTGGTTACTATTACCAAGCAAAATGTATTCTGTTTTGGTTTACTATATCTTCTTTAAACTATACTTATTAACTTTGAACTAAATTTAACTTTTAACTTTTCGATAGCAACTGAGCAAAGTGTCGTCTCAATATATTTATGCTTATTTCTCGTAAAAATAAAAAGGGACTACAATCTTCTTAGAGTTTAACACTTACTTATGAGCTGGAATCGTATCAAACATGAATCTGCTGCATACAATACTTGTAACCTATGCAATACAAAATGTTAGGAGGACAAGGCTTTCTGTTTCATTAGGTAAACCCCAATAGAGTTAGGTTCCTTGCTTCGAAGCTTTAAAAGTTCACCATTGACCGAACAGTCTTAGTTCAATAGTCGATGTATTAAGAACTAAAGTATTGCAAATTGATATCAGTACCAACAGGTGATATCAACCAACATAACGCCTTTTATACCCGAAGGGGTAAGCAGAGGTGCACATTATGCCACTGTACAATGTAACACCCACTTTTCACTATTTATGTTATGAGTCCCATGTAATAGGGGGTGAGCCTATTGCCATATATCCAGTAATACTTTGCCCGACCCGGGAATCGAACTCGAGACCCCTTGCCCGGCAGTCACACTTGTGACCACTTAGCCAACGAGGCAGTCAGATATCAGTACCCGGTAGGTATGAATATTAAACGCGTACCAAATAATAAAATGCCCAGTACGTCAGCTTACGTATTATTTTTCACTCTGAATAGTCTCATGACTATCTTCATAGATATAACACCTAATATTGTATTCTCTTCTGATCTGTTTACCACTGAAAAAGATTTACTACGAATATTTGAGAAGGAAATCTCAATTCAAATAATATATTGAAGATACACCACAAGTGTACGCTCCACGTCGTGCAGCGCCTTTGAAAGCAATATCGTGCAAAATACATTTACGTTGTAGTTGGCGCGAATACATCTCGGTTCTCGATTCTGCCTCTCGGGTGCTGGCTGGCAATTCTCCCAATTTTTGGCCTATCCAGTGCATAGCTCAAGGGGTTAACTAACAAGCTGTTTACTATCGCTGCCAATGAGAGGCTTTTGTTTGAATTATTTTTAATTGGTGATATTTTTTTGTTTGTGCGCGTTCCAGGCTTTTTTTTAAGGGTGGAAAATCATCGAATGACTTCTCCCACCTGGGTGAGGGAGGGAGTGTTAGAATCTTACTAACTAAAAACCACCCTGTTCCTTCTCCTGCACGCTTTCCAGGCTTAGCCTTCTTTTTGCAGAGATCTTAGTTTAAGCAAGTTGTGCTATTCAGTAGAATTTTTGAGGTTTAATGCATTAAACTGTCAAACACCGCGAGGACACCGGTGTCCGCACACCTATTGTACTTTAATTGTGTCTATAATGACGGTACTCAAAGGGTTAAACTAGTGTCTTTGGTATTCGTAGTACAGCATTGACTTGGAAATAAATAAAACATCTCCCCCGCTGATTTATCTCACTGTTTCCTAAAGAAACCGAACAAAGTCGTGCAACTTTGGGCTTATAAAGCTTACAGGATATGTTCCGATCACCGGTCTTAAAGTTACCCGGGTCAGTTGCTTGCTTCACACATAGATCGATAAACTTCGGGTGTTCTTCGGCTGTCGTCGGTTCTGAAAGTTTTGCCGGCGGCCATTGAGATCCCCCCTATTTGTTTTACTTTTTGTTCTTTTTCCATTTCCTATCACTCGTTCGTAAAAAGTCGTATTGACTTATGAGGGTTCTAGCAATTTGTCGTTTGCCATAAATACGTATTATGTATGCTACGTACTGGCATAGCTGGTCTGAAGGAAACGACAGTCGGATGAATAGTTGCATATATTTCTCTGGTTTTTATTTACTGGTACGTTGGATTATTAAATACTCTAAGGCTGGTGCTGATAGGCGTAGTTAATGTAACTCATTACAAGAAGTTTAATTAAATAATATACTTTTTTTAGAACTGTCAGTTCGATACTAATCTAAAACAAAGTTTAAATATCTATTAGACACTTCCCTTTACGTAATATAATCATCAACGACTTAAAAGTTACAGACATCAGCCACAGATAAGCAAGTCGTTTAGGCATGATATCAAAATACAAACATACATACATTTGAATAGAAATAAGATAATTCTAGAAAAACAAATCACGCCCACTGAGTGGAAACGATGAACGGTAGATATCGTATGAAAGTAATAGAGTAATCAGGTATAGATAGGAGTAGATAGTAACAGTTGCGTTATACCGACAAAGCATAATCGGAAAATATTTTGTTTGTTGCCCCGATTCGCATTAAATCTGTCTGCCTTTATATAATTAGATAGACAGATAATCGTGAAAGCGTTTGTAGTAATTGGGCTCAATTTCACCGAACTTTCTTGTTTTGGAGGTGATATGAACATTAGGTATAGTTTATGGTAAAAATAAATTGATGGCTTTAATCGGGCTTGGAACTGGACTGGGTAACTCTCTGGAATGGCCCACTTGGTAAAAAACACAAGGTAGACCTATTACACGATGGGAAGACGAGATAAAAGCGATAGCTGGTCCAAACTGGAGAAAAGTAGCTGAAGACAGAGACAAATGGGCGTCACTGGAGGAGGCCTTCACCCAACTTGGGGATCCAGTAGATTAAAAAAAAACATAGAAATTAGGATATACATAGAATTAAGTAAAGAAAGAGAAATTATACTAACATAGACATTAAAACACATGAACTAAAACCTCAAGATTATAAGAAATGTAAACTTTAAGTACTGGAAGTACTTAAAAGGCTGTTTTATTCTTATTTTATTTATTTTTATCGGGCTTGCCTAGATAGGTTAGTACGGCTCATAATTTAAGACGTACATTTTTTAAGTATATATTAAAGACGAAACTGTACCCATACGTGACTTTTAGGTCTACTTAATCTTATTTCTCTACCTAGTTATACTTTTACAGACATAAAAAATCCCTCGCATGCATTTACCGTTTAGTTACACTCAACTAACAACCTTACGCCTCAAAAATTAGGGTGGAAAATTGAAATTACACACTGAATGCGGTTAAATGCATATTTGTAGTCCAGATTTCGTGACATAACTGTAGTTGGATGTCACGACTGGCGCATGACGTCACGCGACGTAACAAGTTATTGTCCATCAGGCGAGACAGCTCGGCTGGGTTGGACAGGGCTGTGCAGTATCGAAATGTGGTTGTATTATGGTAAGCAAATATGAATGATTTGAGGTTAACATAATTGAATAGAAATTATTCGACTTCGAAAACGATTACTAAACTGTCTTTTTCCTAACTCCGGTGAAGCCCAACATAAGGATTATGTTTTAGAAAATTTAATTTATGTAGGTATGTTTTTGGAAATTCACTTGTTTTAGAAAATTTAATTGATGTATGTTTTTGGAAATTCACTTGATGCAAATTCTGTCCAAAATTCATAGAAAACAAAACATAACACCACGCCTTTTATCCCCGAAGGAGTAGGCAGAGGTGCACATTACGGCACTTAATACCACTGTATAATTGAACACTCACTTGTCACTATTTATGTTATGAGTCCCATGTAATATAGGGTGAGCCTATTGCCATATACCGGGCACATTTCCAGACTCCGTGTTACTACTGAGGTTGTTAGAAACCCAGTAATACTTTGCCCGACCCGGGAATCGAACCCTAGACCCCTTGCCCGCCAGTTGCACTTGCGACCAGTTGGCCAATGAGGCAGACAATAATTTATATTAGGCATTTAAAAAGATACAACTGAATTTTATTATTTGCAAGCGTCCCTATTTACGTCATCTGAGACGGCTCGGCTGGGGTGGACATGGCTGTCCGAAATGCGGTTACATTATGATGGACAAATTCCCATGAGTGGGACATGAGATGTGATATCATGGGTTAATAGATAATTGTATAAAGGAAGAAATGGTTGATGTCCCTTGTGGGGATCATGATTGTGAAGGTTTTCAGATTTGGGAATAAGGAAGTAGTTTTACAAAGGAAATTTTGTGAATTGTGTCCTATCAAATGATATTATTATCATAAAAGAATCTTGTGGAATGAGAGCCGATTTTTGTAATGTAACATAAGGTAGCTAAACTAGTAATATTTCGGAAGACAATCTTGTAGGTAACGAAGACGTCAATCATTTTAAAGGATGGCATAGACGGCACCTATGTATGTGTAGAGTGTCGCGGAGAACCTAACGGGTAACCGGGGCTCCGGCTCGACGTGCAGGAGAAGGAACGGGGTGGTTTTTAGTCAGTAAGAGTCTGACACTCCCTCGCGCCTCACCCAGGCGGGAGCAGTCATTCGATGATTTTCGCCCCTTAAAAAAACTGCATGTGTAGAGTGCACAATATTTCTGTGTCTAACTTAACTTATTGATGTACTGTCTGCAAGATAAAACGTCAAATTAAGTAAGATCGATTGGCACCTATTTTGTATCATCTGTTAAAATATGTCACATGACTACAGTGAGACATGATATTAACTTTAAGTACATTTATACATACTTAGAGAAAAAAAGATGACCGCTTATGTTTTAGTTTCGATATAACACTAGTATAAAACCTGTTGGTTGACAACCCTATACAAGGCTACAGGTTTGGCGACACGTTACAAATACGGTATCGCCGGTAGCTTAGGGTTGCACAAATGCACACGCCGATGTCCTGATAGTCAATTAATCAACACACAACACGAAAACCTCTCCGGTCATCCGCACATCCGTGATTACAATATAACGTTTATTCCGATAACACTAAAGGCTATTTTCTTATACCTAATATCTATTTCCATGAAATCGTCGTTTATTTACCTACTTCCACTTCCATTCCGATTGCGACTGAACATCAGCATATGTAATTGCTGGTAAACTGTATTAGCATTCTGTAGTTCCGTCGTTATTGTGTTTCAGTGACATTTACATGATTTCAAATTGCCTGCTTTTACATTTGTACTCATTGCGTGGTGTCCAGTTACGTTTCCACGTTTTTGTCATGTTTCCGTTATATTTTTTACATTGACAATAGTACTTAAGGAAAGTTAGAAACCAGGGAGACAGGAAAAGAATAAGTCTTATTTATTTTATAAGAAACTTATGCCGTTAAATTTTTATAACTACTGAGATTTTAATACATTTAAGTTACAATTTAATCGTAGCTCTTGTATCGTAGCCCCATGGGAGACAGGCGTATGTAAATATTTTAATACCAACAATGGACAATTTTTTCTATCCCAGGTCCTAGACCGAGCAAAAATGTAGAATCTTTATAGCAGGCCTTCAAATTTACAGTCATGCGAAGAATTCCACGAAAATCGTCTGAAAATTTTACTCTGCCACCAAATCACATTTCTTGAAGCTTATACAAGTCTCGCGAGGAATGCAAATTATAAAAATACCTCAAGGCTCTAAGTATCGAGACAGAATGACTGGAAAAATCCATACTGACTTTTCTTAATGTCAGTTAAGGGCATAATATACATGTATTATTGTAATTTATATTCTGATCTCTGACAATTTCCAGATTAATGCCACGGAAAAGTAAATTAATCATCAATATTTTTCCGAAACGACATCCTGATTAGAGAAAGGCTTCTACAACGCAAACCCTTATACTGTAGATATAATTACCAAAAATTAGGAGAGTGAATAGCAATTTAAACTTTAGATAAGCAGTCGTAAGAAACATAATCGAAAATCCAAGTCAGGTAGAGAATGAACACGGAAAACACATGAAATTGAAAAATGTATGAGTTCAGTGAAGGGATCCAGTTATTGTGCATTTGCTCGAATGCTCTTCATATTGAGGTTGGGTTCGAATTTATTCTATTCCACATTCAAATTCGTATGAGGAACGAGCAAAATGGAAAAATGGTGTTATTTCTATGATACTATTATTACAGAATGTAGGTTTGAGAGATTTTATTTTTAAAAGTCGTTTTGTGTATAAAACTAAGAAATCAAAAAATATTTTAATTAATATTTATATTGAAGTTTTAGTCTAAGTTATAGGTACAAGTCCAGTACTTATCTAAAGAATTTCTCATGTCAATAATTCATTAAAACCTCAGAGAAAAATAGCCCTTAAAGTTAAAAAATATTGAGTTTAATAAATCAATATAGTCTGCTTAAAGTTTGACAGAACTGGATTTAAGGGAGGAAAACAAAGATCCGCTAGGAAGTGAGTAAAAAAATAGAGATACTAAAAAAGTCCGTACATTCAAATAAAATTCAAACAGATAGGAAATTAGTGACAATTAACAACAACTTAAAAGCGAGCACCAATAAAATAGCTTCAACTCCAAGGAGCGAAGAAAGAACAGACCCACAGAACAAAACTAAAAACAATTAAAAAGGACAAACATTAGCACACAAACAGAATGAGGAGAAAAGATTCAACAGCAAGGTTATCTCGTTTATTATCAGTTAATGCCAACTCTAAGAAGCACATGACTTGGAAATATTATGATTAGATCTAGAACTGCAATCACAACTACTCATTTCGGAAGTGAATCATTTGTTTTGGATACAGATTATTACCTATTACAAAAGGTTATTGACATTGGCAAAACAACTGTAGATAAATATCGACCTAATAAAATCACAGAAACACAAACAAAGCTGAATTTCTAAGTCCAAAATGATAGGACAAACAAGATTTTCGGCTTCTTGTTTTATTCGCAAAGATTCAGAAATGTTGAAAACAAACTGTTTGATTTAGATAGCGAGGAAGATGAAGATTGTGTTAATAGTCTAGGTTGTAACTTTGTAAATGAATTTACAGAGCAGAGATTTCGATAGTGGAAGTTTTATTTGAGGTGTTAACTTGGGAAATTTTTGGTAAAAGTCTATTTATAGATCTTGCTTAGTTTGTTAAGCTTTGTTATTTAGACCTGTAAGTTAAAATCTATTCGTTGTATACAAAAGATATTTGTATCGTGTAAAATGTTGCATTCACGATGCCGTTAATCTGTTGATGTGGCGTGTTTGCGTGGCGTTCCCGTATGCATTGCCTGACTTGATTTGAATTGATGTTTCGACGGTATCAGATCATTTCATGCTGGATTACATAGGGCAGAGAAAGGGCAAAGTCGAACGATCATCATTGCACGTTAAAATACCTTACTTCTTGCGATTCAAGCGGGTTTATGAAAATGTTGTGTTTTTATTTATAACTATGACTTACATTGGGTTCCTTCCTTGGCTCCGAATTCCATAAGCATTTTCGCAAGCTGTCTGTTGGTTGCAAGCACCGCCACGTCCAACGGTGACAAGCCGTCTGCGTTGAGGCTGGAAAGCAACATGAACCTTTAACACCTAATGTTGAGATATTACTTTTATCTGCGTAGGCACTAAGTGTAGATAGTAAAAAATATACCATAAGGAAAGAATCTCATATTCTTATTTCGAACGGCAATTTAACAGCTTTTGGAATTCATCTTTATAATTATATATATAGGGTATTACTTATGTCGGAATACTCAAACGCTACTCAATTTTAAGTTGTGCTTAAGTATAGTTCTGTCTCTACAAATTCTTTGCAAAATGACAGAGATGGCACGATATTTAAGCACGACTTAAAATTGAGTAACGTTTCAGTATTCCGGCATAATACCCTTATTATAGGGTATTTTCATGCTTGACTATTCATGATTAGATTTAGCTAGATAACAAAAGGCCAGGAAATTTAGAGTAGTGAACAATTTACGAAATGAATACTGATTTACATATGTACGAATTAGATTGATGAGGATACAGTTTTAGTTTAGGAAGCTTTCCAAATGAACTTTGCAAAGGTCAATTTCATTAAACTAACGTAACTTTAAACGAACGTAGATACGGTATAGCTAAGTACACTGCCCAACAAGTTAATGCCTCTAAGGGAAGGGCAAAGGGAATCATGATTAACTTTTGTAAAGTGGCTCGCAGAAAGAGGGCTTTGACTAACAATATCATGCAGAAGTTAGTTAATTTAATTTACAAGTTTACGTTCGTAAAGGGCCGCTTATGATAGATCATTGTTATATGGTCCTGATTAAGTTATGAATGGGACTTGAGTTTCGTAAGGATATACCTAACTTGAACATTGAGACACAACTAAGTATGATATAATATATTATGTCTAAGCTTTTCTAGTTCTGATTGATGTAACGGACGGTAGACCTATTATAGAGAATACCTAGAATTAAGTAGTTTTACCTTTTACAGGAACTTATCTTTTAATTATTACAATGGAGAAACTGGAGAGCCGTTTCATGAATTTATAAAAAAAAACATAACAATGCACTTCCTATAGTCGGTAACAAATATGTGCAATAGTAAAACTGCTGATATCAACGATAGTTTTTAAAACGCAATCCGTAGGAGATCTGCCGAAGACTAAGGCTGAATGTGTAAACAGTTTCAGATCGTTTGTCTCGTGACAAATCCAGGTGGTCTTGAAGTGCACTCGCAGTAACAGTGACAGGGATAAATTCCCGGTGGAAGTATTTTGTTTTCTGCATTGATCCTTAGTTCTTATTGAAGTGAGCTTTACTGTAGTAAGTGGATGCTTGTTCTTTGATCGACGAATTTTGTTTCTGATTTAATTTTGGTGGTTATTTTGATGTCACCTCTTTGACTGCTTTTTGTTATAGTTTTGGGATTTATTTAACTGCATTTTATGATCGCCAGTAGACAGTTTATGATTGAAGATTTAATTGACAATGGAAGTGTTTAAAATACATACTGAAATTAGGTGTTGCTAGTCGTTAAGTATCTCAAGATAGAATCGTAATCAGTTGAATAGTTGAGTAAAACTCTGATATAAATACTGACGTATTGGAATAGTCGGGATTAGATAACTAGATTTTAAATAAACCCGTTCACAATATTTAAAATAGATTGGGATATAAAACCCAATCTTAGATTACTAAGTCGATAAGACATACAAATCAGAATAATCCACTCAATTCTGGGGATTTCTTATGAGCAATGATTGAGGAAATGATGGATGAGAAGTAGATGGACGTATCATTAGAGAAGAACTTGATTCCTGATAAGGTGTACTACGTGTAAGATAGCTGAGTGGTCAGTGGTACACCCTGACACCTTTTATCAGTGACGTAGAAATAAGGTGTGAAGACGGAAAAACCGTGGCATGTGTCAGCCTACAGGGGGCTCTTAATAAAAAGAATCGTGAAAAAACACACTGTTAATTCCATCGCTTATTCATTTTAAACTTTCTCGTATTTTACTTGTGAAACTTTTTATTCACGAAAATACCAACTATTCATTGATTAATATGACGTTTAGACTATATTATTTCGATGGTCACTTAGTTCATAAGATAATCCTTTTCAAAATACCTCATCATTATAAATATAAATACTTTTTTAAGATGTAAGTATACGAGAACTCTGAAGCATTTCATTAGAATCTTAAGACCCATCTTTTAGATCTTGTTTTCTCTTGAAACAATCTTCAAGGAAACAATTCCTCAGTCATATCAGTTGTGATGTAACGTTAAGTAAAGCCAAAGATAAGTAAATGATCAAACCTGTTAACGTCGACATCAGTGGACTCCAGAATGTTGCGCGCCTTGTCGAGGTAGCCATGTTCGACAGCTGCAAACAGAGCTGTAACAAACAGAACTAAGATTCACTTTAAAGAACTACTGTTATACTGATAATTGTGGAAAATATCAGTAAAGTGAGTTTTCATATGGTTATAACAGAGGTTAAAAGTAGGCAGTTCGCATAAGGGCCGTTTATTATTACGCGACCGGCATTTGAAGCCTTTTTTGAAGAAGTTGGAGACAGTATGAGAGATGTACCTCTAGTTGGTACTTAAAGTAAACCAGTACTTGGTTATGTCATAGTGTATTATTGTGTAAATATGTTAGTTGTTGTTAAATATTAGTTACAATGTTATGTATGAGTGTAGTGTAAAAAAGATAAAATAAAAAAAATATTACTAAACACAAACATTAGTAGTTTTAGTAAGTAATTTTTAGTAAGAAAAGTGATAAAACAGAATACAAAAAAGAAATAAAAGAAAAAATAAAAACGTAACAAATACCGTGTAAATGTATGTTAACTTGTGCAATTTTGTCTTGTTGCGCGCGCGCATCCTTCTGTTGTCGACGTGTTGCCTTATCGAGGTGCGGGGGGTGGGGGGCGCATGCGCTTAACGACGGCAACTCCCCCCCGCACCCTTCGAGAAGCGCGCCGTACTGCAGCTCTAAGGGAAAAACGGGAAAATGAACAAAATGCAAACAAAAAAGAATGTGTTTAAAACAAAAGAAATGAAAATACAAAAAATATAAAAAATGACTTTTTATATATTGTACAGTGGCATTAAGTCCCGTAATGTGCACCTCTGCCTACCCCTTCGGGGATAAAAGGCGTGATGTTATGTATGTAAAAAAATACTTTTTTATAGTTGTGTTACTTAATATTTATAAAAAGGTTTAATATTACAATATTAAAACACAAATAACGTCAAATTCGCTATTAAGACTGACATTTCAATACCAGTTAATAAATTCATTAGATGAAGCGATCTCAACACTGTTTTATTACTAAAACAAATCAAGACATCCAATATTTACAAATGTAGCCTATAAATTAAACCGTATTCCCTAGAAATTATTCAAAGTTCAGCGTTCCTAGTCAAATTATGTCACTTGAACTACAAAGGGTTATTTATTGTCCTGTCCTTAGTACAACAGCAATCTAATGATTAATGGAGCCTTTGAGAAATGGCGCTACATTTGATCAACATTCTGTTGTAAAATACTAATTACTTTGGTTTATTTTGAGAAAATCTGGATATTTGTGTCAATAGGAAAATTAGCTATAGTTATGATGAGATTTAAGTTCCATTTTGAATGGTGAGGTGGTTAAAATTCTATTCAAGACTAGCTTTTACATCGTTAAATTTCAATGGGTTTTTTAAGGGGTGAAAATCATCGAATGACTTCTCCCGCCTGGTTGAGGCAGGGGGAGTGTCAGACTCTTACTGACTATAAACCACCCCGTTCCTACTCCTGCACTTCGAGCCGGAGCCCCGGTATCAAATTAGGTTCTCCGAAGATGATTTACCTATTGCGGTGTAGCATGGAGTCTTTCGTACTTTACTGCGCCAACCGTATTACATATTTATCTACAACTTCCGATCCACCTACATTAGTACAGTAAATTTATCAAACTGCCCACGATCAGCCGACATCCAAAGGTTAACCATTTAACAATGAACATGATTACCTCAATGTCGAACTGTTTGTATGCCAACATATAAGTAACTTATACCTTTCGATAAACCAAATACAGACGCCACATAACTTTATTACATATTCCACTTTATTGGTTTGATATAGGGTCGAAAACCCAATGTAAATAAATGAAAAGAGGTTGATATACTGGCGTCTGTATCTAATAATGAGATTTGAAAGGCTCTTCATTTAAAAAGGACTTCATTAAGTTGTGCAATTAGTAGCTTTCAACAGGTCGGTGATAAATAGCTTTTGATTGATTGTTGGCAGGTAAAACTTTGTCTATTCAAGTATGGTCCATAATGACCCAGTTATGAATTGTTGTAATTGCCTTTACTATGAATTGTGGTTATTATCTATACTAATATTACAAAGCTGAAAAGTTTGTTTTTTTGTTTGTTTGAATTTCAAAAATTCTTTCTGCCTTAGATAGCCCATTTATCGAGGAAGGCTAAAGGCTATAAAATATCACGCTAAGATTAATAGGTGCCGAGCAGAGCGAGTGAAACCGCGCGGAAGTAGCTAGAGTTTCAAATAAAACCTTAATCGCTGCCTGGTGTCGATTGCGAATGTGGCGTTTACAACTTTTTCGAAAAACTTTGTAATAGTGCTAAATGAGCATTCTAATAAAATAAAGGAATAACGGGTCTTGTCAATGCAATACCTAGATCATCATTGGCTAGAAATATTGATTTTTTAATCTTAAAATCAAAAGGATCAAGTCCTTTTTAGTTCACATTAATAGAGTTTATAGTTGAGATCATGTAAAACTTCAAATCAAACTTCAAAGATATATGTATACGCCATGATACGTTACTGACAGGTATAGCAACTCACGAATTGCCTCAAGGCACATCCGAGGTAACGCCGCATAGCCTTATCCAGCAGCTGACGGCACAAACATGGTGATTAGGTGTCGAATTCGATATAGATTACAAATTGAATTCACAAGGTGACATGTGACCCTGTCAGAATATTAAAAAGCTTACATTCACCTCAATGTCATTGTCGGATATTCAGAATATTCACCTTGTAGAGGGCTGTGGAGTGTAGAGGTTATTGAATAAGACGTGCATAATTCATACAAGTCTTATACTTCGCCTTTAATCATTTATCTACGTATGTTCACTGATTGCTAATAATAACACCCTCTTTATAATATAACTTTTGTGAGGCATACTAAATTAATTATAATGCTTTTCGGCTTACTCACGTAATAATTTGACGAGGAAATGCTACTCAGTAGCAGCGCGACAGTCGCCATTTCGCGGGTCGCGGAATGCGGAATACTGCTCATGAATATGAGCCTCTAGTATGGCTTGAAACTAATCGAGTTTCTCGTCAAATAATTACGTGACTAAGTCAAAAAACACTTTTTTTTTTAAAACCTTGCCCCACATTAGGATTTTCTCCTGTGTCGTGGGTGCGTTTACAAACATACAAGTTCACATACACAATGACACCCAGACCCGAAACAACAATTTGTGGATTACACAAAGTGTTGTTCCGTGCGAGAATCGAACCCGTGACACGTTGCACGGCAGCCGGTTGCCCAGCCACCGCACCAACCATGCAGTCAATTAATAACACCCTGCCATAAACTTATAATCAGACTGTTCTTTCAAGATGAATTTCTTTCAACCATTCTTTTCTACAGCCAGCCCAACCACGGTAATATTCCTTTCTCATTCCTTGTCACTCCGTTCGGTTAAAATTCAGTTCAATAAAACTTCGACAGCTAATCGGAATTCCGATCATAATAAGCAAAGGACCGGATGCTTGCGAAAGGGAAAGCGGAAAAACATTATCTTGTCTAACTTTAAGATCTTAAATTTTCTAATGCCGTAAATTGTTTGGGGATTTTGTTTAAAATAATATGTTGTACGTCACGACGATTTAACTTTTGAACTTTCAAACATTATACCTACTTTCTTACATGTTATATGAAAGGTTTATCTTCAGACATTTTTAGTAATGATACTTCAAAGACAGCGTTTTACAACATTAAGTATAAAAGTGTCTGTTTTAAGCATACCCAGCAAAGTTTGGTCCTAATAGTCTTAACTAATAACTTCACTTTCAATTCACGGTAATTGAGTACTTTCCTTAATTAAAAATAAATAATTTCGATTGTTCAATACAATAAAACATTAAAGAATAATCACTCTTTAATATAATATTATGTTCGGTTTATGACCAACTCAATTTCAACATTTTTCCAGCAATTTTTTAAGAAATAAGTATGCTATTTGACACTTAAAAACGTGACGTCACAATATACAATCTCGTACAAAATTCATAGAAAACTACCATTTTTGACAGTTCGAAAAAAGTATTGAATTTGACTAGTTGGATAGTACCCAATTGAATTGTATGGATTAGTATATCTGGTTTTTAACTTTATCCATCTAATGGCAAAATACCTTAAGTAGCCAGGTATAAGGACAGGAAGAAGAAAAAGCTTCTGGCTTCCTTCAGTATGGATGGTGTGTGTGCAAAACTAACCAAAGTTTTAACTTAACGGTTAATACCTACCACAAGTAACATAATAAAGTACTTAGCTAACAGTACAGCCACATACATATACAAGGTGTAGTTTTGAAACCGTGTCATTTCTCAGGAGCATGTCACACAAGTTATATAGTTTCAATGTAAGAGAAAATTTCGGGCCAATAGTTAAAAATACGGCTATCGTTTCAGTTCGACAGTATTTCAGAATAAGCGACAGCAATGTTTCTTATTGGAGTTTTATGGAATTAGGAATAATATCAAGTACGTGTTTGAGTTTGTGTGTGTTAAGCCGCGTTATAAAGCTAGTTACAAGACGGCGGCGTGTACTTCGCACTTACGGATTTCCGTAATTTCAGAAAATTGAAAATTTTTTACCTACAATTTTTTTTTTGATTCGGACTCAGAATCTATATCCGAGTTACCTCCTAAAAATGACGCGGCTTTAAAACAACACCTTGTATTTTGTGGAAAATTCTCCAACGAGATGTAACTGTATCTACAATTCTGTTAGTCGATTCGTTAGTTCCCTAGTTCCCAAGTATTGTTTGTATAAATGTGTGCTCATAACGCGTTATACTGTTTAGTCTATTACTCATAAGAAGAATCTAACAAAACACCTTCGTATATTAAAATGTTCATAAAAGAATCTAATAAAGTACCTTCGCATGTTAGAGTATACTTATTTGTTTTAAACTTATTTAACATAACATAACATCACGCCTTTTTATCCTCGAAGGGGTAGGCAGAGGTGCACATTATGCCACTGTACAATGTAACACCCACTTTTCATTTTATTTTATGAGTCCCATGTAATAGGGGGTGAGCCTATTGCCATATACCGGGCACATTTCCAGACTCCGTGCTACTACTGATTTTTTTTAAAACCTAGTAATACTTTGCACGACCCGGGAATCGAACCCGAGATCCCTTGCCCAGCAGTCGCATTTGCGACCACTCGGCCAACGAGGCATTCAAATATACAAACTTATTTGTATTGAAAATAATTTGTGCATTACTTATGAATGGGTACGGTAATGAGTTAGTAACTTAGTAATTAGAAGAGTAAACAATGTCTGTAATTAGTAGGTATTTATGGAAAAATACGGAGTTTTATCTTATCAAGCAATGGGTTTATAGTGAGAGGCGTAGTCTGTGTGGCTACAAACGAAATTAACTCGTAATACAAATGTTTAATCATATTTCGGTATGACTTTCAATTTTGGGTTTTTACTTGCTTTTGCAATTGCAATTTTAACACCAAAGGCATTTTTTTAAGGGGGGAAAATCATCGAGTGACTGCTCCCGCCTGGGTGAGGCGGGAGGGAGTGTCAGACTCTTACTGACTAAAAACCACCCCGTTCCTTCTCCTGCACGTCGAGCCGGAGCCCCGCTAACCCGTTAGGGTCTCCGTGACAACACTAAAGGAATATGAACATTTTCCTGAGACATACTGAAT